AGCCCTCACCCTCCCCTGCCCCTCCATCACCCCCATCCCCTCCTCAAACCGATAAACCACATCCCCAAACGACCCCGTCGGAAAGACATAAAACCACTCCAACGGCTCCCCGCCCCGATTAACAACCCCATGTTCGGCATCCCCGGGAATAAACACGACCGTGCCCGCAAAAACCTCATACTCATTCCCATCAATAAATACATGTCCCGATCCCGAAGTAATATAGTATATCTCCGCTTGGGTATGGCGGTGACGAAAAAGATGGCCTGTGCGCGGAGGGCAGACTGCTAAGCCGGCACACATGTCAGAAGTCGGGGTTTGAGGGGAGGAGAGGAGGGTGCGCCATGTTAGGTGCCCGTGGGCGGGGTTCGGGAAGGATTCCGGGGGGAGTGATGTGATGGCTTGGCGGTGGTGGGTGACGGGGTGGGTTTTTCTGGTGGGCATTTTGGGCGTGTTCGGTGTTTAGAAAGAAAGTCTAAGGGAAGGAGAGGGCGAGTAAGTTTTAAGGTATCGGGGGATTATAACAGCAAGTGGAGTAGCTTCGTATGACGCATTGGGTGAGTTGGCGCCGGAGGGGTTCGGAGGTGATATGCAGGTTTGATGCATGTACTTTAGGGTAGTTTCGTGCTTTAGAGAATATGATTTGCTCTATCCAAGACATTTATGCACTACCTTTCTTGGGAAACGGGCTAGGCGAAGGAATAACTGGATTCTACTAACTGAACGTATCTAGGGCACTATAAATAGCTCAATTACCCCTCATACACTATCTTCTCCGCATCAATGGATCGTTGATTCGGCAGCCAGTAAACCAGACCAAAGATCAACACTTAGCGTCATAACCCCGATCGGAACCTGTCGGCTTGCCAGCTCCTTATTATTCACTGCAGCCGCATACGAGGTTGTAACTACAGCGGTGAGGTTCGCTACCTCGGAATCCATTCATTGCGCTTCGGGCGACATCGAAGTCGCGCACGACAACATTGGTTTGGTCTGGGAAGGCATTCTGCAGCGTGGTGGAGGAGAGATCCCGCACATGCCAACCCTGCTTCCCCCCGTTAGGATCCCCGACACCTCCTCACGATTGGCTGTTCTCGCTTCAAGGCTTGATGGAATAACCACTTTAGATGCCGCTGAAATTAGCTATGTGCGTAAGGATCTCCTTGGCAACGGGAAACTGTGCTGCGCGCGGATATAACTTCCGCACGGCCCGGAAGATTTAGACTGCATGCCCATGGGTTACTGCGCTCCTTACCATCCCAAGTTATACAGGGTGTCCGTGCAGCTGAAGTCCTAATGCTAATTCTTTTCAAATTCCGTGGGAGGATCACTAGTTTCAAGCGATGTAACCATTATTCAACTGAGAAGCTCCGAAAAGATTGCCCACTTATTGGCGACATGAAATTCCGAAGTTGGCGAATCACACCTTACCTGGGAAGTAATATTAGACTTCAAGCAAGCTGGGTTATCCGGTACGATGCCAACAGATCCCTCTCTCGGAGGCATGCATTAGCCGTTTCCTGGATCCCACGAGTTGCACGCCACCATTTCAACGCCGAGTAAGCATTGGGAGCTCTACACCATCTACGCGGCTTCTCAGCTAACGTCAATATAACCACTGCCATGGAACTGACGTTAATCTGGTAGCAAAGGCCCCCGGTTGAAGAGGTCGATCTGTAATTTATGCTCGATTGATTGATCACGCTCAAGTAAACAAGTATCAACGTCTGCAAATGCCAGAGTGCTCTAGGTTGCCTATAGTATTGAGTAGCAACAACGCCGCTCCTATCACACCCAAGGATTCGATAGATGTAAATGAGGCACATCAACCCCTTCCCAGAACATATACTTTGTGCCTCCCTTATATCATATCTCTCTGTCCTCAACTCACATTCCAAGCCAAAGGATCAGGTGACTCTGGCTGCAGTGAATGTCCCAACATGTATTATTCCACGTATTCCACGTAATGCAATGGTAAATTACATCCCCCTATTCTAGCCCAGTCACCTCCAATATCTACAAGATCTGGAAACCCCACAGTAGGACAAACCTGGGTGGTCTAGCGGTTGACCTTTCGCGTCGGGCCTTACATGGCACTCTGTGGGAGGGTCCCGCGTTCGATCCGTATCGGGACCTTGTCTTAGACTCTGAAAAGTGTCGCCTCTTTTTTTTTTCTTCTTCTCTTTCTTTTACGTGTTGGTCTATGGGATCATGAGGCCTCCCAGAGGAACTCGGCTTATGTATTTCGCTCATCTGTTGTTGTAAGTGATCTCACAATTCGATATTTCTGATTTGGAACTATTCCGCCGGCCAAATTGTGTATATACACGCAGATCAACTCCCTACGATGATTAAAGTTACTTGGGCTGACCCGGATGGTGTAGGAATTAGGTACCAAAGTTCCTTCCCATGAAGTTTCCATTCAACAAACGCCAAGGAACTCTAAAGTTAAGGTTCGCGGTCTTCTGACCTCGTATATATCATCCTATCAAACCCCAAAACTGTACCCAACTCATTCGAACCGTGGTCCAGACTAGCTCCATCCGTGTGGGAAACTCAGCCGAAGGTAAAACTCATCTATGGATAGTGGTTCGGAGCATAAGCTGGTTACGTGGCACCTCATGGGTTACCTTCACATTAGCTACGGGGGGACATATCACATCAATAGGAAGATTGTATGTGATCAGATTAATTATTTTAGCTTACTGTAGCAGAATTAGGATGGTATCCGTACCCAGAAAGAGATAATGTATAAGAACATCCACTTCCATTAATCCATTGAATGGCAGATATTTGCGACGGTGTAGACTACAGCGAAGAAGAAAGACATCCCATCGTTGTAACTAGCACATCACATCCCAGTGATGCTGTAGGCTAGCAAAGGGACAACATTTTAGATACGGGGCTCGCCGATACTTTGTGTCTGACGAAGCCCATTGTAGACTAATCAGAAAGAGAAAGAAAAAAAAAGGAAAGAGAAGTAAATCATAAGAAAAGAGATATTAGATGCCAGTGCAAAATTCAGAACGTCCATCCTGCTAAGAGCAATAAAAGGATCCGAAACCTCGCTCGTTTGTGATTTATGGAATGCCTAGATTCAAATTCATCACTTCGCTCCTTCATCACCTCAACAAGGGTTGGCTTTGAATCATCTCCAACACAGTTGCCAGATCAAAAAGCGTAGGCATCCAATATGGCACCCGTCTTGACCAAATCCTCATCGTCGACAACTAGCCAGCCTTTGCTCTTCATCTCATCAACCAACTTCCTCTGCTTAGACCAGGCCGAGGCACGATTGTTCGTCTTAAAGGAAACCTCGACGATGTAGTCAGTTCTCTCAGCCAAGGAATTCACCATGTGCCAAACCTCAAGGCCGATCGGCTTACCATCCCACGACCCGGAGTAGCGATCAACATGAATCGGGCCATGGATGACCGACCGCTGCAACGCGTAAGTACCCCAGTCATGAAGTTTCCAATGTTTGAACTTGTTAGGCGCTTTCGTGATTAGCAGCTGCCGCAAAGTGTCTGCTTTGAAGAATTCCAGTTCGTCGGGTAGGCATCCCTCTAGCTTCTTCTTGCTGGTCATTGAGAGCATCTTTTGTTCGTAACCCCAATCAACTTGTGCCTTGAACTCCCGACTGTCACCAGTGGGCTCATTGTTGAAACCCTGCATATTGGCGTGGGTGAGGATGCTATCGATATCGCTGTTCATGATTGGGTAGTGATGTCTGTACGTAAACTCGACATTGCTGTCGCCTTGAGCTTTGCGGGCGCTAACGCTCCAGCCGGCCCCGAAAATTTCCTTGGTTGGGGTGTCAAGGAATTCTATGACCTCCATGATCGGGCTCGGCTGCATGTTGAAGGTAGATTGGACATCGGCTTTTAGTTCAATGCTTGGGGTGAAGATTTCGGCTGGTTCGAGAAGGAGTCGGATCTCGTAGTCAGGCGCCTTGTTTTGTGGCAGTATACCTGACGGGCGCAAGTGACTCATTGTGACGGATACTCGTGGGTGATTTGGTTTTAGTGAAACGGTAGTTGCAAACGGGGTGCAGTAAACAAGGTGCGGGAGACGGGGTGTAGCAGACGGGGTGTCGCAAACGGGGTGTAGAAGTGGTGGTGACAGCAAAGCTGGATCAATGACAGTGTTTATATGTGGAACTGAAGTGTAGTGAATGACCAGTGTGAAGCAGAGTATAAAATGTCAGTGGAAGCTGCAGTTCCCGTCTCTTTGGGCATAAATTCTGTGCGTGTTTGCATTCACTGTATGCTCACTTTTCTTCTAGAGGGGCCGTCATCGTGAATCGGGGCATGCCAAGGTCATCATGCAGTAGTAGCAGCGCATTACTACACGGCTCCTCCCGAGTCACAGACGGCCGAGCGGATCATCCCACATACCTCTTATTTTTCTTTCCATAAACATAGAGGTTAAACAAAGGCTACTGTGATAGGAGGCTTATGGGGTAAGCGTTGTGTTGGCCTCATATTGGTATGGATCAGTACCCAGCATGAGACTCAGGATATTGCATTCCCCATTATGGTCTCCAAAAGTCTATCCAGTTTCTCTAAGCCACTATGTGTTGAGAGAGCAAAGTCCTCATCACATATTGGTGCTAAAGTAACACACAAGACTTGGTGCACCTAATTTGTATGAGTGAAGCAAAGTAGATGCCGGACATTTATCGGTACTGTCACAATACTAGCTTAGTGGGGCCCCTACCAACCCTGGACTAGCGCTCGGAAGCTTAAATCTGTATGTGGGTCTACGCCCCGCTCACCCCGCCGGATCCGAAGTGCAGCTCGCACGGTCGGCATCTGGCCCTCGGGTCGCGGTCGGTCTCGATTAGTCTACACCACAGATCTTCCCTTCTAACAGGTTGGAATACGAGAGCTAGGAGACATACTACTTCGCCGAGAGCTTGCTTTTTACGCCATAATTATGATGAACCCCCACTTACTCCGGTGAAAAAATGCTGAGTATAAATAGCGACACGGGGAAGGCAAAAGTAGCAACGATCTGAACCTGCATCATGGCAGTAGCATTACTACTAATCTTAAGTGACGACTCAGGTAACTGAAATACACATCAGAACAATTCGCGAGTACCAAATTATTATGCCTGTCCCCCACTACGGTGTCTGGGCTTGTCGCCCATTTGACTACTACGCCGAGGGCCGTGGCCAACCCACGCCGCACATCTACCTCTACTTCAGAGACGACTCGTCCGGCAAGCGAACTGCTGCCATCAATGTCAAATCCAGCGGCAAAGAATCTCGTCTGGTATATTGGGTTGATAAAGACTTCACCCATCCGATGACCGACAAGCTCGACACCCTGGAGCTGGGCTTCCATCTAATTCAGGATCCCAACAATAACCATAATAATGGCACTCAACATCGCCACCATGAACACCGCCACTTCCGCTATAATCACTATACACCGAGTCACAACGACCTGGAGGGACTTGACTACTACCGCACAAAAGGCCTTGTGAACATTCTTGCCGGCGAGGTCCTCAAGCACGACATCGACGGACCTGACAATGACATTCTGGATAAGCTAGAGCCCATCATTCAGGCGGCTATCAATGATGAAAAAGCCACTGCCTATATTTTCGGCGCTTCGTTCGGATCTGGAATTCATAACATTCATATGAATCAGGGCAGTCTGCCCAAGTATGACAATGGGATCTACTCGGATGGTGGGTTGTTGTTCAAGTTCTCTGATGGGCACTGGGAGGCGGTGTTTCTGGCCTTTGCTTCGCAGAGACTTCCTACGGGTGATGATGGGGAGGCGGAGAGAGGTAGTGAGAGCTTGTTGCAAATTATTCGGGAGGCGGTCGGGTCCTGAGGTCTGACTGATGCTGATATAATGTATGGAATCATCTTGAAACAGATTGCTACGTAATAGTATGGGCCCAGGTGCAGCTTTATTAAGTGTGACAATTTGAGTATGATTGATCGCTTTGCGACCGCCTACACTCGGGCTTAGTACTTGTGAACATGTCTGCTCGGTAACATCATCTCAGCTCATATGGCCACAAATGCATTCAGTGGCATGGGCAGAGCTTTATGTTGGCGAACTTCGTAGGCACCACTACAAATGGTTAGTAGATGAAGTATTGTGTGGTTAACGGAGACTGTGGTTATTGACGATGGTGGCCAGGAGAATGAACAAAAAATGTAACGTAGCAGAAGAAGCTCAATAGTTTATTTAGACTAGGGGGGTTTCATTTTGCTGTTTGCGAAGCTTATGTTTGAGCAATTACTATCAGCGGTCCGTAGATGTTTCCTTTTCCTTGAAAAGAAAAGGAAATGGTCTTGTCAGCCTACTGAAATGAACAGGCGAACAAGAGATTATCAGAAAGAAAGATTTCAGTGCTGCTTGAAACTTGGGTTTTCCGGAGCAAGAGGGCCGAAAATTAATAAAAAAGAAAGCCCAACGCGGGGCTCGAACCCGCAGCCTTGAGATTAAGAGTCTCACGCTCTACCGATTGAGCTAGCCGGGCTAGTTCGGTGAAAGGCGTTGCATGAATAAGCTAATATTCCTTGCCAGAAATACCCGGTAGGCAAAATATCAAAAAGAGCACGTGGACCGATTCACGCTATCAAAAGCGATGGATACATGCTGCTACACTGTACATAAAAGTCACAAAAACACGAAAATTTCACTGATCTCAATTCCCTTCAGCTCTCATTGCAAAGTGGGAACATGATCATGGAGATGACTCTACCTGCATACGCCCATCGCAAACTGGACTGGAAAGCAAATAATCGTTATCGCGTGGACTGAGAATCTAGTACCTTGATATCATTTTGCATCTGACGAGTATCTTCTTGGCAGAAATTCAGCTGGATCGTGGCCGTCTATGTGCCATGCTTCCTATCAAAAGCCTCCTGCATGTTTGATTCCACATCGTGCACACAGACCGCGAGTATGGTCGAAGAGACGCCGAGAAATCCCTCCGAGCTCGATTAATGCACACATGATACCTTTTTATTCGAAGCAACACCGGAATGTGTGAGACTAATGACTGAGAAGTTGTAGGCAGAATATACATGGCAAACATCGGGTGTCTCGACAATGGCGATGATACCGGACCGACCTGAAAAGAGCGCTCGCTCAGACTGCAGCGATTATAAATTGAACTTCTAGTGCCCTCCCCTCACCCTTCTAATGTAGCACAACCGGTTGAATTATTCCAAATCGCGCCCGTCATGGAACCCAATGTCGACGCCAAAGAGCATGGCAACCCTCTTGGCCTAGGCACTTCGATCATCCTGCTTTCCCTTGTCTTCATCTTTCTCCTCCAATGGAGGGATACACAGGTCTCACAGAACGGACTGCCGCTGATCAATGCAAAGAGACGATTTGAGTTTATCGACTTGCTCGCTAAGAAACGTTTCATCACAAACGCACAGGATCTGCTCAAGGCTGGACTGAAAAAGGTAGGAAATTCCTGATTTGGAGCGATCAATTATTGGTTGACCATCTCAAGGCAAGTGCATTCAGCATCGTCACTGAAAATGGGGTCATGATGGTCCTGGACCCCAAATACGCCGACGAGATCCGCAACTCAAAAACACTGAGCCTTCGCAAGACCCTAATAGAGGACATGCATGTCAATGTTCCTGGGTTCGAGCAACAGATGCAAGCTTTGGAGGATGATGAGATCTTTCAGACTACCTTGAAGACAAAGTTGACCCGAAGGAACTTAGGTGGGCATCTGTCCCATAGCTGTGGAGTATCAGCAACTGACCATAACAGAGGATCTGAATGAGGTATTGTCTCAGGAGGCAACGGTCGCACTGCAGGAACATTGGACTGATGACTCCGGTAGTATTCACCCTGCTTACCACTTTTTGTATGTCACGATGAAACTGACAACTGCCAGAATGGCATGAAATCCCCCTGAGCCGAACGATGCTCAAGATCATCGCTCAAATCAGCTCCCGAGTCTTTCTAGGCGATAAGTTTTGCCACAACCCCAAATGGTTACGGATTTCCGTCGACTACTCCATCGATCTATTCCAAGCAACCTTCGAACTGCGCATATATCCTCGCTTTCTGCGCCCCTTGGCGTCCAGGTTCCAGCCATCTTGTCGAAGGCTTCGTGCCGATATACGAGAAGCTCGAAGCATCATCGAGCCGGTTATAGAGGAACGTCGAAAAGCCAAAGCCATCGCAAAGCAGGAAGGGCGAGATCCAGAACGCTATGAAGATACAATAGAGTGGTTGGAGGACGTTGCGAATGGAAGACAGTATAATCCTGTCTCTGCACAGTTGTTGCTTTCCAGTGCGGCTGTGCACACCAGCTCCGATATGCTTACCCAGGTATTGTACGACTTAGACGGGCGGGAAGAGCTTATTGAAACACTGCGAGACGAGATTAGATCTGTCTTCAAGAATGGTTGGGAAAGGTCCTCGTTGGCCAAGCTAAGATTAATGGATAGTGTGTTGAAGGAGAGTCAGCGCTTGAAGCCAATCAGCAGCGGTATGGCATCGCTTAGTCTTTCTTTTCTCACCCCTTTATCATATAAGTGGCCCTTGTTCACTCTGATTTGCCTTGACGCGTTCTTGATGGTCATGGTATGAAGTGCCCTTAAGCTAACTTACTCACCACCAAGTCTCCATGCGCCGCATGGCCGAGGCACCTGTCATCTTATCCGACGGCACCATCATCCCGAAAGACTGCAAGATCATTGTCCCTTGCCTCCGACAATGGGACGAGAAGTACTATCCTGACCCTGAGACTTTTATCCCCGATCGCTTTCTCAAGCTCAGAAGCGAACCTGGCTACGAGCACACCGCAGCCTTTGCCAACTCGTCTCCGAATCACTTGGGCTTCGGACTGGGCCGACACGCATGTCCGGGACGATTCTTTGCGGCGAACGAAATCAAGCTGGCTTTATGCCACATTCTGTTGAAATATGATTTCAAAGTTGTTGGGAAAAAGCCTGAAACGGTAGTGTTTGGGACAATGTTGGCGGCGGATCCGACTGGGGTGATTGCGGTTAGAAGGAGGAAGGACAAGGAACTGATTCGTCTGTAATTATAACGAGCTCTGGCACCTGAACACTTATGTCGATTTGCAGCGTACCACGCTTCTTGTCAATTAATGCCGCTGTTCAAATCTGTGCTCATCCGCCCTGTTAGTCTCGTCTTCCTGCCCCCCATAAGCCCCATGCCCCGAAGATCACTCTAATGACCAATCACCGGGGATGGACTTCGCGCATGATAGCAGATACTGCATGCTGCAACCTCTCGTGGACCAATATGTTGTGCGCGATCGGATTGTCATTATGTTGCTCGATCTTTTGCTGGTAGCATTGGATATTCGCCGAGTAGGCCATGCCACAAGAAGGTTAGGAAGGCTCGCTCGTTAACCATCCCACTTTCATAGGTAACCAAATAGGAATATGAAGATGTTAGAGCTCTGAGGAGCGTCCAGACTCAGTAAAAACAGCGCCAGCAGTCACGGAATTATCAGCAGCGGTCACGTCACTGCTGTCTCCAACTTAGAAGTGGGCCCTGGAGTACTAAAGAAAGAGAATGGTTATTCTTTTAAGGTGGATATCTGGGAGGCGGATGCTAATAAGCCTGCGGATCACTAGTGGGGTTTTGGGAATAACGCCATCATGCCTGCAGCTGAACTCATCCACTAGCACTAGCCACCTTGGCGGCTGGAGAGAATTTCGGACGGAAGCCGCAAGGATTCCACGAGATCACTCGACATATAAGCTGTTTAGCCTCGGGCGAAAGTTTATGGGTTGGAGAATTTGGATTTTCCGTCGTGATGGGCCGTGACACGATTTCCCAGGTGACAGTCGAGACGGATGCGTCTCGCTCTCGCGATGAAAGTCCCAAGGGCGGAGAGAGACTCACAGTCAACGAGAACCATGTACTTCAAGAACGCAAGATCGGTGTGCTGGGAGCCATCTCCCTGGTTGTCAACAAGATAGTTGGCGCTGGGTAGATCCATCGTTCCGTCAATTCGCTCTGCCACTCCTATCCAGACCTTAAGAGTTGCTAACGGCGGGTAGAATCTTCTCTACGCCCTCAACTATCTTCAAACTGTCTGGCAGTGTGGGATTGTCGCTGATTCTCTGGGTGGTGGCCGGTATCATCTCTACCTGCGGTGCCTTGGTGATGCTGGAATTCGGCAGCGGTATGCCTCGATCGGGAGGCATCAAGGTGTATCTTGAGCGATGCTTCTCTCCGAAGCAGATGCAGACTTGCATCTATCTTTTCTTCTGTTTGTTCTTACAGGTTTCTGCAAGCAATGCGATCACTGCTTCGGAGTATCTCCTGTCTGCTGCTGGGGTAGCCTCGACGACCTGGAAGGAACGAGGGCTAGCCATAGCGGCCGTGTCATTTGCTGTTGGCGTCCACACTTGTGCTCCCCGGCTCGGGCGCGCAATGCAGGACCTGCTGAGCATGGTCAAGCTTTTCACGTTACTGTTTATCGTGTGTACTGGATTCGCGGCTTTGGCTGGGCATCGGCGCATCCCCAACCCTCATAACTTTGACCTGAAGACATCCTTTGAAGGCACCTCGAAGAATGGGTATGACATCGGTACGGCTCTCCTGGACGCGATATTCTCGTACCAAGGGTACGATAACGTGAATGCGGTCCTCTCTGAGGTAAAGAACCCGGAACGCACTCTCCGCATTGCACTCCCCTCCGCCATGGGGATCATCACAGTGTTGTACGTTCTTGCCAATGTCGCTTATGTAAGTTTTGGCCCCAAGTGAAGTATACTCAGGACAGGGTGACTCATTTCTCTTTTTCATTCCATTAGTTTGCTGGTGTGTCCAAAGAAGAATTCAGATCAGCCAATGTCACGATTGCTGCCAGCCTATTCCGCAATGTGTTCGGCGAGACAGCCGCAACGCGAGCCCTACCCGCTCTCGTAGCTTTGTCCGCTATCGGCCACTTGTTGGGAGTCGCCTTTGTCGTCCGTAAGTTGATTTTCCCATTAATTCCATATACCTGTTGCGCTAAAAGTCTTTGATCCAGCGCGCTTGCTGCAAGAGCTAGCGAAAGACGGAATCACTCCGTTTCCAGACATCATGATGCAGAACCGACCATTCAAGACCCCGATCGCAGCACTATTCGTGCATCTCTGCGTCACGATTCTATTTATCTGTGCTCCGCCAGCAGGGGATGCTTTTTCATTCGTCGTTGGTCTTTCCTCGTATCCCATGTGCGCGCTGTTGACAGCCATTACGGTGGGTCTGGTGAAGTTGCGATGCACCCCGTCAGAGGGGTGGTCGTCGTCCTACACTGCGCCATGGCCGGTCATTGTGTTCTACCTGGCGGCCAATGTTGTAAGTTTTAGCTAGCTATCAAAGCTTTTATATATCAATATACTAACAGAGACGGGTTTCCAGTTCCTCTTGGTCATGCCTTTTGTTCCGCCAAATTCGAGCACATCGAGTATTCCTTACTGGCTTAGTCCGGTAGTAGCCCTAGGCATTCTTGGGCTGGGTGTAATATATTATCTACTCAGATTTGTTCTGTCGCCATGGGTGTTTGGCTACAGTCTTCGTCCAGTGACCAAGGATTTGACTGACGGCTCGCGGGTCGTGCGCTATCGTATGCATAGGAATACTTTTCGCGAAGGGAGATTTGAGGAATCCAACTAATCGTGCTGTGAAGGAAGTGATATTGGCATAGAACGGTCTAGATTAATCCCACGAGCTTGTCTCTGAATTGATGGAAATGATACATATAAAACTTAAGATACTGTAAGTTGAAACCGAAGTTCCAGGTGTGGTGATGAAATAAGCATCATCATCATTGGGTTCTAGCATATGTTACCCCCACCACAACACAGGAACAAAAAAAAGAAAAAAAAAAAAAAAAAAAAAAAAAAAGAGCAACGACGATCAAGTAAGCAAATTAACGTTAGAAACTAGAGACTAGAGCAAGGATAAGGCAAAGGAAATAATATACTTTCAGGAGGCATTCAATTACATTCACACAGCGAAAGATGATTTGGATTTCTAGGCTTGGCATAGGGGTTCTGGAAATGAGGCAAGGTGATATCCCTTGTACGACATCGGGAAAAGGTTGTACCTAAAAGGTCACACTTTGACAAATACCCAGGAGGTATATAGCAAAGTAATCTAGCCGCTATCTAGATACCCTTCTTTGATATGATATGGGATGTGCCAAAGGCGAGCGAAAAGCGACCTTTCCAAGAATGTGCTAAACTACTTTTGCAGTATCATCATCAGCCATCAACCTGTCGACCAGACGACGAAAGCTTTGTGTCGTATCCAACGTATCTTTACTGTCTTCAGGCCACGCAGCAGATGGGTGCTTTACAAGAGCCTTGGCAACACACCAGAATTCGGCAGCGTGGATAATGAATCCAGCTCGTCTGGCAGTGCTTGGTTCAATTCCTTGACACATTGAGTCCCAGTGTGTCTTCCACCGATTCAAGGCACGTTCCACCGGTTCAAATACTCGAATATCATCCATGAACGTGTGCAGGGCTAACAGGTCAAATAATACACATTGTATAGCTGAAATAATGTAAGTCGGAGCCTGCAGATGTATAAAACCAGAAATGGCCAGATTTGAGTCGCAACCTTACCCGAAACCACAAGAAATGACCCGAATATAGTATTCGGAAAATATTGCCCGCGTTGAGGAGGTTGGCCTTCGGGCCTCATGAAGTCGCGGAGAACGGTCCGCAATCGTAATGGTTCGTAGGGCTTCTGATCCTTCGATGATAGTTCCTCCCATTCAGCGGCGTTGTGGGCATGGAATAGATCATCCCGTTGTGGTATTTCGAAAGCTATCTCATCGAGTCTCAGAAGGGTCGGATAGCGAAAGAAGATAACACAATAACAGTCGAGCAGGTAGATGCCTGCCATGACTCTGATACATAATGTAAGTCCAAGTGAATTGAGGAATTCGGAAGTTGATCTTTCGCCCACCTGACAAGGCTTTCACGGTGAAGATATGTGTCCCAGTCTGAAACTCCAGGAATACAGTCATTCGTAATCTTATTTAAGTCGAGCATACGGATAACAGTAAAGATAGTCGGCATGCGTTGCAAGCGAATGCGTCGTATGCTATCGGGATTTTCCTTATAGGACTGCAGTATAACAACAAGCATTGCAGCTTGGAGGGTTTCTAAAGTGCCACGGGAATTGAGGATGTCACGATTTCCTTGTAACAACTTCTTGAAAGCTGATCCTTCGAAGATTAAGTGTTCGGTGATGTTTGAGTATGTTGTTAGATCATCTGAGCGGTAAGGATTACTGTAAACCGCCCCTAATAGCACCATTGTCAGAGCAAGAAGATTTGAGGCTTTGTTCAAGCTGAATGCGGCTGAATTGATGTAGTGAGTGTGGAATGGATTGTCGAAGAATGCTTTAATAAACTTGGCGATGTTAACAGGAGTGAATAGTTGTCTGGTGGTATCAATGCCCAGGATTTCCTGACCCAGTGCATCTTGGTGCTCAGAGCAGGCGAGTAGTCCTAGGAGCTCGGCGGAAGTGCTCTCAAGATCTGCATGAGCAAATGAGTAGATCGCACTGGATTGCGAGTCGCATGGTGGGTCCAGGTTAGCAGTACATATGAAAGAGTGAAACAACCTTTCCCAAGGATCTGTGAGGAAGTATGAATTTCCTGGTTGATGATGGTCCACAGCACAACAACCGACTTGTGGATCCGCACCCGTACATTGAGACAGCAGACGAAGGCTTTCGTACTTCGATTCATTCTCTACATTTGTATAATGTAGGAGAAACGGTATTGACAACTTTGCGGGGCCCTGGCATGGATCCCTTTCCGTTGACGGATTGATATCATCAGGCAATTGACCAGTTGTGCCTTGACTAGCCTGGGGGTATCTGGGTGACTGCTCGTGAGTGCGGCTGAAGGAGCAATTAAGGCCCTTTTGTAAGCAGGCCTCGCAAGGCAGATCTCCATCACAGGATACCCGCGCTGTAGCACAGGCGTTGCATGATTTTCGCTTTCTGCCTGGCTTTCCCTGAATGGGAGGTTGGTAGTCTCCCTTGTGCCCGCATCGTTGAAGATGGCGACGTAGAACGTCCCTGGAGGTCAGAAGCAAGTCAGAGTGAATCATCCACTAATGAACTAAGATAAAAGAATACCTTCTGAGATAGGCACCACCACAAAATGGGCAAATTAGCTTTTCCGATGGTTCGTCTAGCTGGGATTAGCTACCAGGATGAATGGAGGACCGGCGTCTCTTACGACTCGCTTCATGTCGACGCAGGTGGCTTTTGGTGGAGAAAACTTTCTGGCATACAGTACACCTCACAGAACTCCTTTCACGAGTAGTTCGCGTACTCGATGCACTCTTGTGTGGCACGGGTGGATCTTTCGACGGCATGATAGAGTTGGTGCATGAGCCATGAAGCGGCGAGGGGAATTTTTGCGGAGGTTCGGCGGGAAGGGCTGCAGTGATGTGGGGATAGTGGCAAAAGACCACTTGAAACTACTTCTTTCAATCGTACCTTGATACGCCCCAACAATACTGTTATTCCGAGTCGATTTGCGGTTGTCAAGACTGGAAAATCTGCTGTGCGTATCTACGGGGCTTTTGTGCGTTATGACAACAAAGGCCGTAAGGATACATTGACCCTGCTTATTCCGCTGTGCCGATTAGTCGGGAAATCCCATATGCTAGTCGGGAAATGATCCACATCGATGTATACCCCCCTCCGGAGGCTCAGGGACCAGGAGAAATATGTTCGAGACCCCGTCGGTAGCAACTATCCAGGACATCATGAGATATATTTCAAAATTTCGCTCATCATACAATATCGGCAATGGTTAGTTGTTCCTCGCAGTTTAGAAGGCTTGCTGACTTAATAGGGACTTTATCCCAATGCCTCCGATCGCGTTTGCGTCCGACTTTCGTGATGCCTTCTGAATTTAGCCTTTTAACTCGCTGTCAATTCTCTTCAGTAAATCTAAGGGCTACTGCCAATCCACAGCAAGATCAGGGGAGCGCTCCCTCAACTTCTACGGCTCTTTCAGCCGAGAAGCGACCTATGAACATGGCCGAGCACGTCCTGTAAGCAGTCCGACCTGCTCATCACCCCCAAAAAACATTGTGCTGACTTTTCAAAGTACAACATTTGATCAGATAGTCAACTGGGCCCGTCAAGGATCCCTGTGGCCCCTCAGCTTCGGTCTAGCGTGTTGTGCGATCGAAATGATGCATGTGTCCATGCCACGATACGACCAGGATCGCCTCGGTATCATCTTTCGAGCCTCTCCTCGACAGTCCGATGTGATGATTGTTGCGGGAACCGTGACAAACAAGATGGCTCCGGCACTGAGGCAGTGCTATGATCAGATGCCTGAGCCTAGATGGGTCATTAGCATGGGGAGTTGTGCTAACGGCGGAGGGTATTACCACTATAGCTATAGTATAGTTCGGGGAGTGGATCGCATTGTTCCCGTGGACGTTTATATCCCTGGCTGCCCTCCTACAGCGGAGGCGACTCTCTATGAGGTATTCCAACTACAGAAGAAGATACAAAGGACTCGGGTTACGCGGAAGTGGTATCGACGGTGATTGCTGCGGCTTGATAAATTTTAACCGTTTGCCTATCTTAGCTGCCACTTTCGTTTGTATTTGTGCGGTTTGAGCTGCATGTTGGACATGTAATAGGAGTTTGGTTTGGAACCTAACATCAGTATTTCACGTATCCCAAGTGAGACGCCTGTCAGAAGCGGGGTCCCCTCTCCTGCAATTGACATGCTACTCACAGTAATCACATATGGTGTTTACCCCTATTATTCAGTTCACTACTGATTTTTCTCCTTGACGTGCTGACTCGAGATGTCTCGCATCATGCAGTAGTGCTGCTAACAGTGCAGAGTCAGGAAGAAGCCGATTGGTGGGAAAGACAACGAAGAGCTTCGGGGCCACACAAACAAGCAACATACAGTCAAGATTTAGCCCGTTTGTTCATGTAAGACGACGAGGCTAGCTTCAACTAGTGAAACGTGGCTTATCACACGTGCCCAAAGCATGGTCATACGGATGGGCGCCGTACATTGGCTAGACGTGTGGCTGTGGAAGCAAACCCGCGATTGGCCAAAAAGTGCCATCGACGATATAACAATGTTTGCTACGCCTTCACGTCTTACAATCAGCGTGGGTGCGGAGGTCAGCACCATATGATATACTGCACTTCGGCTTTTCTAGCCGTGTTCGATGGCTACCCCGCAACATGAGCACGGGGATTGTGGTTCATTACCGAAGACAAGCTTCGCCCTTGGCAGCCTAAGCTTTCTATGTTCGACCAGTAGTCCGGATGAAATGAGACGCCTCGGACATAAGCAGTATTATGTAGACGGCAGCCTCTCCGACAACAAGCCGACCAGGTCGTATGTGAATCTGATGAAGACCAACGAATATAAAAGGCAAGCACTATCCCGTATTGATGGAAGTCAGAATCACCTCAGTTTTCCTCTGGCCCTGTCCCAGCGTCAACGACTCAGATATCATGGCTATTTTTTTAAACGTCGCGGCATTAGCTGCAATTGTTATTCAACTGGTTACAGCCTCCCCCCTCATGGATACCCTCCTGCAAATCCCCGAATTATCTACCTACGCCGAGGTGTACAACCTGACCGGTGGTATTGTAGAGATCAATCCATTGTTTCTCAAACGCTACAACTACGACGAAGACAAACGTAACTACACGTTCCTTGCTCCCACTAACGATGTAAGATCTTCATCCACCTTTTCAGAGTATTGCAGAAAAACTTTTAACCAGTCAAATCCATAGGCATGGGCCAAGATGCCCGACGCCATCTTTGATATCCTTATGACCCAAGAAGCCTACCCCTTAACCGAGGCCCTCCTGCGCACACACATCATCGAGGCTGGTCTCACAGCTTCCAATCTTGTCAAGGTATCTGAAAGTGAGGGTGCAGGAGGAATCTCTACCTCACTCCAGGTGTCTAATACTACCGAGCAATACCACAACGGGGTTCTGACCAAAACAGTCCAGGGCTACTATATTGACTCCATCACTTCCAGCAAATGGCACTGTACAAATTGACGATCAGTCTGCCATAGTGACGGCAAATATTGTTGCAGACAATGGTCTGATTCATGCAATTGACCAGGTCATTGACCCTTTCCTGATTTATGGTGGTGGACCTAGCAATCGGACAATTGCACCGACAAGTGAGACAACAGATCTGACCATTGGAGAGTTACTGAAGAGTGACTCGCGCCTTGTGAACTCTTCGAAGATTCTATTTGAAAACTCCCCAGATACGTTGCGTCGGTTGTCGAAACAGACCGGCAGTATGCAGTTCTTCGTGGCCCCACAAAATGAGGCCTACGACTTGATGCCTACTATCCTTCCCATATTTCGTAAGTTCTCTCACATCATGAAATCACGGAGCTATTGGCTAACTTCAATTCGAACAGATACCCTTGTCGCGCCATATAAAAGCCCATTTAATACTCTGATGTGGCAATATGGCTGGCTTGATAGTGATGGCGATACCTTTGCGGGTCTAAATTTCAGTAGTCCGGTCACACTAGCCAGCGACGTAACGGGGCTGAATATCACAGTCACCCAAGAAGAGGATGCCGTCTTCATCATGAATGCAGGTCTGGTCACTCAAGTGAAAGCATCCAATGGGTATCTGTGGATTGTGGATCGGTGGTTGGATCCCTTGTATCACGCCTTTGGTCCCATCGACCGATTTGGCACACCAGAGTGGCCGTGAGGTTGGAGTTTCAACTTGCTCTTGTCGGAGGTGTCTCATAATGGCTAGCCGAAGAAGGTATTGGTTTGCAATGCTACATCTATTAAGCATGAAATATGTTTAATTCTGAGCACTAGAAATTACTTTTGGGCTTTTTTAAGTATTGTATCCTTTCGAAGCGACTACTTTCGTTAGCATCAAAAGCACTGACAGCCCATACGACGAGCGCAGCTACGGAAACCGGAGATCACGACACGTCCCTTTCGCCCACCTCATGCGGCAAAGTTGATAGGCGAATAGTCCCCCGAAGCCGAAGGTGATTTGAAAGGTTCTCAATGCCTCGATTTCCAAAATCCCAGTGGCGAGACATGAACGACATATTCCGTGCCCTGGGGAGATATGTTCCGGTCGTCGGCTTCGATTCCATTTTTTCCTTTCGAGCGCAATCTGGTCTTCACGGCTTGATCATAGGGGCTCAATGAAATCAACCGTCGCCTTATCGTCTGCGCCTATCCTGACTGTTGTCTTAAATCCACCAATTCCACGCCAATCATCGGGCCTGCATACATTATCACCCTTGTAGCCACCTATCCGTGAAGTATCCCGTCACAAACGCAAACACTCCCTTATGGAGAATATCGATAACCTGCTCATTAACAGGCCAGGTCCTATAGCTAGTTAGCGTCCCAGCTCAAAAAGGTACGCCATATGGTGTGACTAATCCGGCTTACCATGGAAGCGCCCCAATACCCGTAACATTCTCCAGTGTTTGATCGATCATAAGCCGTATAGCAACAAACATGAAATCCGAGAAAGGCCCACGAACACCGTATGCGCTCATAAATGCTCTAATTATTCCCGCAGCCGCCCCCTGTCCATAGTGCATCGCCATGTTCAACCCGAAACGCTCGGAATCGGGGCGAACCGGGAGTCGGAGAAGGCGCTCCAGAGTGTGACCCGGAACATATGAATTCGGTCGGCCGGTGAAGTATTGCTCGATCTTTTCGCCGACAGTCATTCTATAAAGTGGTCAGGCTATTGGTCGCTGTTTGTGATACGGTGGTTATAGGACTTACGCAGCGACGCCAAGCAGACCGGCTCCGCAACCGTAGATGATGCAGCTCCCTAGTGAGGACGGTCGGGGCGGCTGCTCGGGAATGGTGGTGCGACGGGACATGTTGTGTGCTTGAGTTAGTGGTAGATGATTTGTACGTAGTTGGGGCTATGAAGCTGGAGTTGGTGAGGGAGGAAGATGATAGCTGATATAGCGAACCGGGGTTGCAGTATATGGCGTAGGAATGACGCATGTGAGCTTATCCAGCAAGTAACAGCCAACACCCCCGATGACCTTCCTTCGACGAACATGGAGCCTGAATAACTTACTAGTGAGCCTATTAGTTTTATTCATGTTTTTTCTCGTACGGATTACAGTGCATTGGTGAGGTGTTATAGGGACACTTAAGAACCCACAGGGATCTTATAAGTGGACATTTTCACAACCAAACATGCCATCTAAAATGATATCCATACACAGAGAATCGAAAGAGACAATTTTGAATAATCACTGAGCGATAGGAGGATAGTCTGGGCATTCGTGAAGTACAGGGTCTTTGCCAATTTGCTATTAGCCGCACTATATCCCGTTCGCAATATATATCTCACACGCAGCGCTCCCCATCAACCAAAATCTCAACACCGCTGATAATCGAACTCGCGGGAACCAGCCTGGCAGAAATCCCAGCAAACTTATTGAGCAAGAAGGTACTTCCCGATGTAGTGCATACAGCTCATTTTCACCTCTCTTCCTGTTCTTGTGCTACATTTGCGAAGACTTGGTAGGCACGGAAGCCAACGGGGTTAATTGGTAGAATTAGCCTAGAACAACATGAACCTTCCAGTCGACCAAAGTCCAATATGTGTCGACCAAAATAATTAGATAGTACATACGACCATAGGGTGTGGAAAACAGGGCTTCCCGTCCGCTCAGCCGTACTTAAGCCACACGCCGGGAGGTTAGTAGTTGGGTGGGTGACCACCAGCGAATCCCTTCTGTTGTATGTTTTTGTATTTGTTCTTTTTATTATTTCTCATAATTCATGCATGATAAATAGATTCATTTGTGTAATACGCAACCGAGAGGTTTGATTCCTGACAGGTGCTCATCGTGGAAGAATTGGTGCTACCGTTTACTTGTTCAAATTGGCGGATGCGTCAGCACATAATTAGGGCCCTGATAGGCAATTGGATGAGCTATCCAAAAGTATTGGCCACAGATATCGCGGAGAGTGATAGAATGACAACTAGTCCTTCACAAATCCGGCCCTGCGCAATCTAAACATGAATTCGAGGTAGATAGCACTTGTCCTCAATGAAATAGAAGGGCTTTCCAACCATGCCCTCTCATCAGGCTAACATCATCAGTCCAATATGAGGAAGTACCCCGTGACCGGATATCTTATCTTTCATCCTCAACCACGTAGGGTCCCTGCAAGACCTGAGCATTCCTGGTGATGACCCGACGATCTCCAATCCATTCAACCTTGAAGATAGCACTAACCCACTACATCAGCCCCATGCACTGAATAACAAGCGGAGAATTTCCCAACTTACTGGACCTTCCCTCCATACATCTTCCCGTCATCCTTGGACACAACGCGTCCCTTCAGCGCGAAGCCGATCGTGCCTCCACGTCCCTCTTCGTCGTTGACATCAGGCGTCGCAACGGCTTCGTGAAATTCGAAGTCTAGAAAGGTGTAGCGAGTGCGCCACTCTTGGACAAATTTCTTGAACCCGTCTAGGTCCAGTCGCTCGGAGTTCCATCTATTGCGGAAGAGGACCAGTACAAGATTAGATAACTGGTAACTCCTTTCTTTTCTCTGGGGTTTATTTGTGCAGGATTAATCTGGAGATATGTGGTATAGAGGTCGTGTGTAGCGAGATGTGGGAGAGTGGTTGCTTACTCAAACAACGCATCGGAACTGTAGTTGTCATCCACTAAAGTCATGGCCTCTTCGTCGGAGGGGACCTCGTAGATCAATCTTGACACATGCCTGATTCAGCAACAATGCAATGGAAAAGGAATGCGCGAATAAAGATCATACCGTTGAATGCGTTGAACGAAGAACAGCAAAGGGATCTTCACCTCTCCCTCCGTGGGAGTGGGGGTCGTTTTGGGAATGGGAAACAACATCGCTGCGGTAAGTATGCTAAGATATTTTAGTCTAGAGTGTATTAAATTCGGGTCGAATAATATTAGCTCAGGCCGATCGCTTGTGCGATTTATATGTTGTCGTTATTCAAGCCGAGCAGGGGTCGCGTTGATGCTATACGAAGATGACTATGATGATATCACAGTACACTGTCTTGGCAAGAACTATGAGAGAAGTCCTTGGTTGAGGTAAGCGTACGATCTGCGTCGTGTCAGTTGTGGATGAAATTTCTCGTATCAAATGACAGACAACTTCAATTCATCCACTACGATTTAATGATGTATTATGCAGCCTGGTGGGTTATTCTAGCCATGAGTGACCTCACTGTATCGCATCCTGCTTCAGTCAATTTGAAAATAGAAGGTTGTATCTAGATGAGGAAGCTGGTAGCTGCAATATCATAGTTTGTCGATTGCTTTATGACAAGACCACAAGCAGTCGTTACCTGTTTGATACTCCTACTTCTTGTGCGAAGACCAGCTTACCGTGTCTCACAGTCTCGGAAGGATCGAGTCTATTATTTCCAATTGAAATCCCCTATAGATAACCTCTCAATATCAAAGAACTCATCGTCCCTAAACCTGAAGTTCAAGGCTGTGGCATTGCTGAAGAGACAGGTTCAGTGATGAATAAGTCTGACATTTTGACTTTTTGAAAATTCGTTGTCATTGTCTCAAAGCACTAAGCTACAAGACCTCCGAAGTAGTACTGATTATCAACCAAGGTGTGTAAGTGGTGTCAATTCAAGGCTATATGCTTGTAGGAAAGCCTGGATAGTCTGACTGAGTCAGGGTCGAACTACATCATGGCTGGTTTGCACATTAAGAGCAATAATCCGTAGACACTTTAAGCCTTTTTCGCACGAGTAGCTTACATGCTTCTGAAAGGCTTTCGAGATAATGCTGTATATTATTCCCCCATTTCTACATGAAACAGGATATCTATTGCTCCGGGGTAGTACACAGAGTCAATTTGGGTTCGGCGGCCGATTCCTTGAACACGGCACTGCCCCCCTCGTCAACGATGCTTGTATAAACCCACTCCTTTGCTACGAAACAAAACCTCTCCCTGTCAGTCAAAATGAGATTTTCAGATAATCATAATTCTGAACTCTACCTAGCGTGGATAGTACACACAGGAGAGAAAAGCATTAATCATTGTCTTAGCCCTTGACCGTTCGGCTGAATCCTGTCACTTGGCGGAACGTCCCTGTCAGCAACTAGGTCAGCTTCGTATGAATCTCCTAATACTACAAGACGGCTAATCGCATCGGCGAGCAAACATAGAAAATTTGGGAGTGTGAAGGATCTCAACCAGATTGGCAATTTTCCTCTCGCCCTTCCTGTCAACGCACCGACCGAACAGGATTTAATCCTGTAGCCAGTTAGTTAGCAAACACGTCGTCTCCGGTCCGAGGAGAGGAGATGACCCAAGCAAAAAGGAGGAACTACGTTCACCAACATCACAAATAGGCGATGAATTCATTCTATAATAGAAATAGGTCCCCGGAAGCCGGCCATAGGGGTCACCCAGTACTTCGGTGAGGAGCTGGGCCGAGCCGTCGAGGGCAGTACACTCTTAGGTGCCCGGAAAGTCCACCCTCCCGAGGGCAATAAAGAGAGACTTGGCGGATGAAAGAGTCAGAATGGCGAGTTTCGAGATCAAACGATAATTGATGGTGATGTAGATCAGTCAAGCGGGAAAGACGTTGCCTGCAACTCACCCTACGCAGCATTATCATTCACCCTCACTAACTCCACCTCCTTCACGGGCATGATTTTCCTGGTTCATTAAACCACAATGGCCTAAGATCCCCTCAAACCTATGAATTACAAGAACATTTTTTAACCGTGTCAGTATATAGAGCTGACAGATACATGTAGCGCATACTTAGGGACTGTGTAATGCATTATTATAGGTTTCAATCTTATATGGTGCTTAACGATCACTACACTCTATGCTATTATGCGCCGCCATCCCACATGGCATGTCAAGAGCCCCCCTTTGTCCTGAAGGGGAAATTAGGGCCGTTATCGATAAAACTCCGATCAGATCGGAGCGGCCGGTTTTGTTGCCGATTTGCCGAACTTCCCCCTTTTTTTGAGCAGGTTTTTCTACGTTGAGAACATCCAAAAGCGTTCATCCCGAACACTGTCGGACCCTGAGACCCTGATTAACAGGGCCCTATCCCCTTCATAGTCCCAGGGTTAGAACCCAGATAGTATGTCTAGACAATCATAATGAATCACTGATATGTCCCCCGCCGTCTGCCTCACTCTATTCATGCCTCCGATCGACTCTGCAATGGCTGCAACAAGCTTCGCTCACCCGAACCTTCCAATCCCAGTGGGGCCCACATGAACTTAGCCCAAAAGACTTCTTTTTCCTTGGTTCACTTTAACCTGAGGTATACTAGAGGAAAGCTAGCAGTTAGCACTAATACTAATTCCGTAGACTTTGCCAATATGGTGTCTTGAAAAATGATCATAAAGAATTGCCTGGACCAGCGATGCAGAAATTTTGCTATCCGTCCTGGTGAAGGTCCGTCGTTTGTGTCCTCTGCTTCTTCGATCATCCCTTCCTGTCCCTTCTTTTCCCCTCTTGTTCGTGCTTGCTGTTCCTCCGACGATGGATTACATTCCTTGTTCTTTCGATGCCTTCATCGACAATTTCTTGGCGTGTTACCGACCCTGCTATTCCGACTATCTCCAACAGTTGGTCAGCAACGGGACCTGTGGTACCAACTACACCACCCTAGCCGCCAGCACCGACCGCTCCGATCTGAAATGCATTTGCGAGAACGCGGATGGGGTCTCTAATAACTGGACGTCGCAAGTCCTAGAATGCACGCATTCTTCGTGTAATGGAACGTTCAACTACACCCGATGGGCGGACAGTATGTGGAGCTACGACAATATGTGCTATTATGCTTCAGGTATCTACTCCTAAAAGCTTTCGCCCTCGAATCGCCTCTTCTTTACCCCTTCGTTTCCACATCTCTCTTTGTTAGTAGTGTGGCGAGCAGTAACTGACTTGGAAGAAAAAGGTACGGCGGGCTACAAAACATGCTCCTCTTCGGCATCATCCAAGACAACATCTAGCGCTGGGCTGTTAATTGGGCTATTAGCGCTGAGTCAAATATTGTTTCTTTGAGCATAAACTGGAAAGACGAGACCTTAAAACTCCGGTTTCGGAAAACATGGTTACTCCAAATGCCTCTGTTCCTATTTCAGACTTCGTCATCCAGGTCAGGTTAGGATACGGCAGGTTCCAGTGCTTTGTTAACCCTTCCCTGCTTTTGCGGAACTTTTGAGTGGCCTGTTGCTACCCGTGGGTTGGTGACTGCTCGTGCATCTAAAACGTGGTCGAAGGGCCTTCGAAGGGCCCTGCCCGTGGTGGAGAGCGGAGGCAATATATGAACATTACACTACTATACTGTGATGTGAACTCTCTTCATAACAGTAAGTACACGCCCGGTAGGGCTGACACAAATACTGTACGCGCGAGTGTGCTGTCGTCAGCGAAATACACAATTTTGAAAGCTCACTCTGCAAATAATGTCCTCCAACGCACAATTCGCTATGCACAACTTGCAAGTGAAGTAATGAATTCTTGTTAATTCTGATTGTAACGAAGACATACACCCTACTCTGGTAATGACAATAGCAGCATATTCATACTCATCCACGTCCATCACACGCTCGTCAATGGAACAATCAAAGATGACGGATATTTTCCTCCAGTATACACCACATGTCGGCCTCTATTAAGGTTTTTTGGGCCCTTCCTCAAGGCTGGGTACTCGGGGAGAATGGGGTCATGCCCCTTGATTTCCAACCTCAAGGACTCACCTTCATCGAATACAATACCCCCAGCCCAAATGGGAATCCTGAGCTCCACAACCTCTCCAGAAGATATCTTTTCCGATTTGTCATGAGGGAAGAAAAGTTCTGTCGGCTCTTGATTCTCCTTTCTACTTTCAAGCATATCGGGCTCCTCGGTTGTGGCTGCTCGCTTAGAAGCCCGGAGCCGTCCACTTGGTCCAACATATTTGTAGATATTTTCATCTGGGATCATGTCGGGAGTTGTTCCAGGTTTCTGATGCTCAAAGGGGATGTTGTAGTTGAGCAATGCATTACCAGCACGATCTAGCTTCCGGATAATCACGTATACGTCCATGTCATCCAAATCTTGACAGGACATGTAGAGCTTGACCTAGGAATTATTAGCTTGACTGAAACTCTATGCTTGCCCGAGCTGGTATATGGCTAACCTGTGAGCTGCCTATCAATTCAGTAGTCTCAGTAAAGGTCAGGGTAAAGTGCGCCCCGTCATCTTCCCACATGTCGGATTGATAGGAGGCAGAGGCGTCATCGGTGAGTGGTTCAGGTAGCAATGTCCCTGCAACACTTCCATTCTGCCCACCCGCATCGAGATAGAATGTTCTATACTGCACCCGTGAAGGAGGGTATCTGTCTTCCGCGCGAAAAGTGATCGGAGACTTGTTATATCTCAGTAAAGAGAGGCGAACCTTGGGTGTGAACTGCCAGCCGTTATTTTTTCCGAGAAGAAAGTGGTCCAAAAAGCGTTGCAAATCGTCGTTAGCTAGTGGCTGGTAAATGTCAAACCACTCCTGGGTGGGATGAATCCTTAGCCTGACAAACAAAGTCAGTCGCATAGTAAGACCACATATCGTACTTGAAGGCCTACCATTTCTGATCGGAGCCTGCATACTTCCACGCGCGCAATGACCCTTCAGTGTGCAAGCCTGTTGAATAGCTAGCAAGGATATACATAGGGATTTTGATATCTTGAAGTCGAGGTCTCTTGTCTTCCCAATATGCATTCATGAACGGATACTTCTTGATCATTGTAGCAACATCCTCTCTTTGAGCTCTTCCATTGAACTCCTTCAAGAGGAGCTCCCAGAACATAGTATTGGGAATGCCTCCACGACAGATACTCTCACGATAGAAATCGCCTAGTCCTTCCCATGGAGCTATGGCCTTCAGATGCGGGGGCTTCTCAGCCGCAATAAACCTGACGTATCGTGAGCCATGCGAACCCATGTACACTTTGCAGAAAAGTAAACCTAGCGATTGGAGTAACTCACCACTGAGTAATAGCCAGCCATGAATTTCCTACAAGCGCCACATTCCCATCGCACCAAGACTGCTCGGCAATCCACTCGATGGTGTCGTGCCCATCTCGACCCTCCTGCGTACCGAAGATGAATATATCACCCTCGGAATCGAAACATCCCCGTGCATCAACATTAACGACGACGTAACCACGGGGACACCACTCCGCTGGATCCGGTGCCTCGAACTTTTCGAGCCCGCTCAAGGAGCTTTTGGGTACGCCTAACCAGGTAAAGCTGGTTGTCTGATGGTGGCCTGGAAGAACCCATTTAGATTTGATTCATTTCTCGAGCAATGAAGAATGAGAGGTACGAACCACTTCCCGTTTTCCCGTACGGACTCCACGGCAGAAGCGCGGGTAGCGGAACTCCATCTTTGGCCAGCGGGCGGAAAATATCACCACGCAGGGTTGTCCCGTCTCGCATGGTGATCGGAACATCCTTTTCCCATATGATTGGCTCACTCAATGTACGGAATCCTGGCTCGCGTTGCCACCCCTCCCGGAGAATGACTTTCGTGGAGGGACGGAAACCTGTCCAGTAGTGGTGAAAGCCGCGGTTAGATGGCGTAAAAGTCACGTCGATACCGCCGATTTGGTGGGGCATTTTGACCGATTGACTGACAGGTCGGTGTTTAGTGCTATAAGGAGGGTGTCTGATATGAAGGCAGTACGTGGTATGTGTTGTCAATCTCTTGTTTATAATGGTGACAATCCCCTCCACTTACCGATTCCCGAAAGCTTCGTTGCCGTTTTCCGATTGCCCTTCCGGTGGGGGTTCCTGCAGGAGTTCACGCCAGGAATTATCGGAACCGAGATTCGCCAATAATCTCGTTAATTTAACCTCCTATACGGGTATCTGGTAAATTTCTACGATGACGCAAGGAACTACATATCGCGCGGATCCTCGGCAGACAAAGACATACTCCCAAACAAAATCTGATCATGGATTGCATATACGTCATACTCAAACTACTATGCATTTGGGAAATCGTGTCTCCAAGACCTGTAGACGATTTCTCTGACAGTCCATAGATCAATTCTACTTCAAGCCCTAAATGACTTGAACGAGGCAGCCCGGAAAGCCCTCTCCGCGACAGGTGTCTACCCCAACCCCAGAAGCCATCTTTCCAATCATAGTATAATCCCTAAACTTGAAACGGAACCTCCGCCACCAACTCCTCACCCTCAACGACAGGCGGTTTCGCGGAAATCAAAATACACAGCAGTCGCGCCCACTCCGAAGTCTCATTATCCCAACCATGCATTGTCCCCTGCTGCACCACAACATCATTCTTTCGTGCCTTTGTTCTTGACCCATCATCGAGTGTCAACGTGACTTCACCCTCGAGCACATGAATATAATCCAGAGTGATCGATCGATGGACCATGCCCACCGAGTGCGGTGGAAAATCGACAATACGACAAATAGTGCCCTTGTTGGCTAGTCCTGTATCGACTTGGCCTAGATCGTCCGAGGTATTGAGGTCCGGAGGCAGAGTGGCCGATGACCATATCCGTGTGAGGAAGGGTCCATGCTCGGCTTGGGTTGCGTGGATGTCGGAGTCCTTCCACACGATGGCTTTGCCTTGATTGTTGTGACTGGTGACGAGGCGGCGGATGGTGGGGAGGGGTTGAGGAGTCATGATTATCTGGGCCACTTTGAGACAGATAGAATGGTACAGGATCAATTTTGGTGGTAGAAGGAGAGTATTTCGTCGTTTATTCGTACTGTGCGTGTCATAGGATGTAAGCAATGATGTAGCCAGTTGCCCGGCAATAAATAATTGAGATGAAGTTCGGGGGGCTGCAGATCCGGTGGGGGAGGAGCGGAAGCGGAAGAGCTAGTCGGAAGTAACTGAATAGTTCCATTTATCAACCGATGAGGGGGCCATCGGGAATTTCATATGTGTGTCCTACTGTTAGAAGATACTCACGACCATGGCTGCCTCCCATCTTTTTGAGGAGTTTCGCACTCGCGGGGAGGGGCATCCCGACACGAAAGATAAATGGTACATTGTCGCGGTAAGTGACATGGTTTCAAGTGTACAAGCATGGCAATGGATACCGCATGGCTAACAAAATTGCCATTGTGTATATATAGGCAACTTCAATGGCAGCTGCAGGGGCTGGTCCAGATGTGGCGGAGCTCTATCAGACGGCGATAAAGGGCACCACCTCTGCTGAGGCGAAGCATATCCAAAGACGATTGAAAGAAGCCATTCTAAAGACGAGCATCCTCTTCGGAATCCCTAAGTCATTGCAGGCTCTACTGCCATTGTTCTCTACATTGAAAGAGGATGAGATTGACCATTATGGACCACGGTGCGTCGTTGCTCACAGCCATTGATCAACACAATTTGAACCTAACTTTGGGCAAGAACCGAAGCGTTGCGGAAAGGCGAAACAGACGCTGAGAGACGCGAGCGCGGCCGTCGCTACTTTGACATCCTCTGGACCTCTGGAGCAGCGCAAGCAAACAGAGAAAAGAACTTCAAATATCAACCTGATCTTTGTATGCTTTGTCTTTCGTTAGAAGAGATGCTGAATTTGTTCGTACTAACATCCTCGCCTCTGCAGACCTGTTGAACTTGGAAACCATCTACGAGTCATGGCTCAGTGAAGATACCATCCTGAGCCCGGTGGAAACTCAAATGTGTACCACCGCGGCGTTGATTTGCTCCGGATCTCCTCAGCAGGCGATGTGGCACACGCGAGGAATCATAAGACATGGGGGGAATCTTGACATGGCGCGTTTCGCCCAAGATTTGGCCCTCAAGGTTGGAAATGCATACGGATGCAGCGTTGGCTCGATTGTCAAAGTGGACGATATTGACTTTGATGATGCGACGCCTCATTGAAGGCTGAATCTAGTATGTTTCCTAATCAGTGTCTGAGAGGCACTGAAGATATTGAACAGAATTTTCTGTCCGTATAGTAGACTATCTTAGTTGTTACTGTACACAATCAAATCACCCTTGATCCATCCAATGGCTCGAAGAGAGAGATATAAAAAGTACCATACTGTCTAGGCGTCTCCATAAAAGTAATATCGTTTGGGCAAAAAGAGTCCATGATCGTTACGATGTGACGGTCTAAGTTATAGTAGTCATACCTCTCTCTCATTCAATCCTGTGGTCTGGTGGCGAGCAGAAATAGCAATAGAGTTGCAAACAATAACGACCAATTCCACTTCCACATATATACCAGAAGTTGTCATGGGGTGTAAGATGGAATCATAGATGAGAACAGTTCATCGCGATATAAAATATGAATGTTAAGCGAATACGTGATTAAGCCTACATCTGAGATCTGGTCATCGCTAGGTCGTGCATATCGAGACCCTGTAGGCGCTGAATGATATTCGCCATCCCAGGAAATATGGCTTCCAAAGCGTCGGAGTTCAATGGAGTCACAGAAACCCACGCCTTCTGATGGCCTTCCTTGCCAAACACGCCGTTCAGATGACCAGAGGAAAGATTTGTTCCAATCCCCATGAAATTCACACCCGATCCGCTAGCATCCATCCGATACTTACTGCCAATTACACTCTCGTTCAGGTCCGCAAGTAGGATGGGAAGATTCTGCTCCTGGCGTGCTGCAGTCACAAATTCGGGATTATCACAGAAGGTGACCGGGTTAAATTCCTTGGGTTCATCGGGTGCAAGAAGTGCGTTGAAGATGCAAAGGCCCAAAATGGTGACTGCACCGCGTCCCTGCCACTCCTCGGGTTGAATGCGTCGAATAACCCACGAAGCGTTGCTCCAACCGCCAGGAGAGTCAATACGGGAATCTATACATGGAAGGAATGTTTCTAAATAGTTCCGGCGAGCTCTAAATTGGAACTCAAGTAGTCTTTGCGAGGGATGCCCAAGGATTCCAGCGGTGCCATAGAATCGTATCATGGATGTTGATGAGCCAAACATGGCACAGAGTGCGCCGGCGTTGGGTATCTGGCTCGCTGTAACGGAGTGAGCATAATTCCGACTGGAAGTATGATGTAATGTGGGGTACCTAAGTGTTTGCGAAGCATATTAGATGCAAAGTCGTGCGCGTCATGTCCGAAGTTGATTCGCATAAACTCCAAAGCTGTCAGAAATTGTGAGTTGTGGCCATCCTTCGTTGGTTAGTCATTTCACTCACGATCAGTTGACGTGCCACCCACGGAATCCTTTGGGCTTATTTTGAATGCCGCTTGACGGGAGAAGTCCTGGATCATTGTTGCTCTTTCGTATCGACATCTCATATATAGCCCAAGTCGTTCGGTAATTTCGTCGCGGGAGGTTCCCAGTGGAAGCAAAGCTCCCAGTGCGACACCCTGAACTAACTTAGTTTTATACATGAGCATTGCTACAGATAGGACTCACATCTTCAATGGCTTGCGCACCGCCCTGTCCTTGATCTGAGTTTGTCGAACAATCAGTATTCCCTTCCCCTACTATAAATGAACGCAATTCATAGGGTCACAGACGTGGTAGGAATGGATGTGCTGCATCACCAAGGAGACAACTTCTCCCATTGATCCAGGTGCCAAGAGCTTTGCGATCCAGCAGTCTCCACAGTTTAATAGAGTCAGGATCAGCCATCGCAAGGAGCTTTTTCATGGCGGGTGAGAATTCGTCGAACACCCTGAGCAAAGTCTCCTGAGATCCGGAAACGTTCCAACCTGTATATTGGCATTTGTGAGTAACGGCGCCTTATCGGAGATCCTACAAATGTCAAGCTTACCTTCCGTTGTTCCATCGCTCTCAGTATCCGGATGCAAGCAGACAAAGTTAAGCTCAGTGTTGTTACTTCTTGGGGTTAGTGAGTGGCCCCAGTAAGGCATGGAAGTCTGTCTAACCGGCAAGGATAGATGACGAGACGGCGATATTGGCCATCCCAGAACTGAAGTTCCCCTGGTCTTTGTACCAGGGCTGCAGTCTCTGGGTCGGATTCGACCTTTGAGATTGGGATGAGAAATCGAAAGGCACTTCCACCCGATGGTTCAGCTGCAATATCCTCCTGGGCAATGACCTTGCGAAGAACAGACTTCGAAACCATCGCAGTTAATGACTAACTGTCGGTCGTCTAAAAAGCACACCCGAATAGGTAACTTACATGGACTCCATCCGCCCCAATGACGAGGTCTCCCTCGACCTTAGTCCCATCTGCCAAGGTCAAAGAAGCGGAACCAGGGTCGCAGTCAATGACTTTGCTGCGCAGGTGAATGGTAACAGGAATGCCAGGGCCTTGGAGAGAGGTAGCCTTTCCTTTCAGTGCTTCATGCAGATCAATTCGATGGCTGAGCTGTAAGGGCTGATGGTGGTTTTGTTAAGTATGTTTCGTCCAAAGGTCGACCAGGATTCACATACGAATGGGTATGTTTCGCGCATATTTCGAACATCCTTTGAGCTCACTAAGTTACCTTGAGAGTCAAACACAGATACCTAAACCAATTAATATCTAGGGTGTCACGTATATTTAAGAAACATGATACTCACAAACTCTGCGTCGTTGCACCGAAAGGTTTCCGGTTGGATCCCCATTCGCCGCAAAAGCCCGTTCACATTTGGAGGTAGATGTATCGCTGCACCGAGTTCAATGGCAAATCGGGACGATTCGAATATCTGTGAAAGCATGCCGTTAGGCCTGCTTTCATCGTAATCATTCCTGGAAAGCTTACCTCCACGACATGGCCAGCCTGTCTGAGCGCAATGGCAGCCGACAGCCCTCCAATACCAGCACCAGCAATCAAGATGCGTAGACGTTCTGCTTTATGACTATCCATTAGGAAGGGCAATACTGACGTGTCAGTTCTTGATACTCGTTTGAGGGATTGGCTCAGACACGGACGCCGCTATTAATTTAATGTCGGAACCATGTGGAGAGTAGCCGAGGATAGACCATCCCAAAGACTCGGAACCCAGTGGGGGATGGAGACAGTTCCGGATGCGATGGCGGAGCCCGGAATATTGTGTCTGGCTTTTGAGCCTCCATGCAATTCTTCTCAGATTATATGTCTATTTTGTGGGGTTCGCTATGTTGAATTGGTCCTTACTACAGGATAGCCTTTGCTCTTCTGTTGACATCAAAGGTACCCTCCGTGGTGGACTACTGCCTTGAGATAAATACTAGGGCAGGTCAATATATGCTCGATGAACTGGCTTCGTCGGGCAGGAGGAAATGACTACGTTAAAGCTTTCGGAGTACTGAGACTTCACAAACATCTTTGTAATGTATTGAAAAAAAGCTTGTATGTGTATTTAAATGGTATAGTGTTGGTAGAAACATTCATTTAACTGGGAATATTTCCCTTCGGGTGTCAATTAACACTCCAATATCTCTTCATACAGGCCTCGTCAACCTCACAAAGTCTTAATCACAAAGTCATAAAAGACAATTGATAGATAAATGTGCCTACAATATACATTGTGCATTGTGATTGTGTCAGAATCAGAAAGACGCGGTGTCGATATTCCCCAAGTCTGTCATCAAGTTCATCATGCCTTCGAGTAGGGGTGGAAAGGTTTCTGTTTCGGGGTTGAAGTTGTCTCGGTATACATCACAAGCTGCCCTCATGACTGTCCGGATGTCGGTCAATGGACAGAATTCTCGATCGTGTCCTACCTGGATGCCCGGCTTTCCTCTTCCCAGCATCACAAAGGCTGCGGTTTCTGGAGTACTGGGTCCATCCAAGTTGACATGACCACCGTCTGCCTCATCGGATGTTCTTTGTAACAGTTGAGGGGAAGCGAACCTGATCATGCTTATTGAAACTAACCCGTACGCCCACAAAGTTAAACTGGCCTGGTACACCAAAACTGCGTAAAACTCGCGTAGCTGAGCTGCAGGGACAGATCTAGCAATTCGTAGGATCTGACCGGCATGCCAGACAGCTGCCTTGAATTCTGGTCCCACCATCCACTCGCGCAAAAGGTGGTGTGTTGTGGCTGCCTCCTCTTCCCCGAGCCTGCCCGCAAACTGCTGTACTTCTCTGGGTGATACCCTGAGCGCCATAAGACAGAACTGCGCCACGAGTTGAATATGCGAGGGATGGGAGTTATCTTGTATGAGAGTTTGCTTGGCGACCTCAATGCGTTTAGCGAGGTCTTCGTGTTGGCAAGACAGCCATAGAGTGGTGGTTGCTTGCACGGAGAATTGATCATTAGCCCTGAAAAATCGTTGAGATTCTTGGTATGCCCAGACTTGGGACCAAAAGCCATGGATTGCTACCAACGAAACAAGGGATTTGTCATAGTAATTGGGCAAGTTGTTAAGCAAGGACGGGTTCTGTGAAATAGCCAGCCACGTAGGAGATTCGTTGACACTAATTGCCGAAGAGAGCATTATCCCTTTCCAGGCAGTTGCTGATGGTGCGAGCCATATATCGCGGGCAAAAGGAAGTGGGCATGAAAGCTCTGTAACTGAACAATTGGGAGGCTTCAGGTACACCATCGAGCACCGAAGGTCAGTCAGTACAGCAAAAAGCGCGGTTCTATCCCTTTCTTTTAGATGAGAACTTTCGTCAATAAAATCTGCGAACTCGGGATACTAACCTTTTGAAAGACTCTTGTCTCACCCATGCATGCCACTTTGCTTCGGTGGTATAGATATCGTCGTCCGGATGGGGGTAGATGGGCTTATCATACTGTGCTCGTGAGAAACACCCGTACCGACGGAGCATCTGAGTTAGCGTCAACTATAAGCTCTTTTCTCATAACGATATTATCACTCCATACTGTCAAAGGTGCCGATAGAAATGTCTCAGCGACTTCCATGTTTCGCTTAAAACCGCTCCACAGGCTAATTGAGACCCACAACAAATATGCCTGGATCGTTTGCAGATCTCGGACGCGACTATTGTCTGTTTCGATCTAAACACCAATTACTATTACATTAGAATGTATCAACGGGCTTCGAATTGATTGCTTACCGATGCTGATAGCGAGAGACGTGACCTCTCCTGCAGAGCATAACCCATTCGGCACACACTATCTATTGAAATCGACGAAGCGCCAGCTCCAATAATAGTGGCCAAGAGTTCGGTAGGGCATTCCGTGACAGATAATGATGGTGCATGGATCCAACTTGCTGGTTCCAAGCTTTGCCAGCCAAAGTAGACTTGTACCATGCGATCGAGGTATGATTCCGACGGAAATGCCTGTAGCGGGGATGTGGAATGTGTAGTACTATAGATCATGAAGAGTATTCGATCACGACAACTCGAGTCAACCACGGTTGGAGTGAATTTTGCCGTAAAGTAATACTGCTGATCATTCCGCAAAATTGAATTAATGGCTTTTTCATTGATCCGCAGACTTTCTTGTCCGGAGTATGCATTGTCAACATGGACTGGTGTCCAAAGCCAGGGCGATCGCTTGAAGAATTCGAACCGCGAGGACGCCGGGCTAGCGTGTGCTCTGTCGTTCTCTCCTATCTCAGCCAAGTTGTGCACGCCACTCGGGATAGGCTGCATCAATGTTTGTAGGGTTTCGAGGTCTAATTCGAAACATCCCCGGTCCAGATCGCTCGTCACGGGGGGAACCAAGAAGGCATCTGTAAACGCAAATCCGCTTGCATATGGGGATATTAAACAATCAACCGCGAACGCAGGGTCTAGTGGTGCAGCCGGGATAGTTGTGGGCTCATCTGATCTCTCCTGTTCCGACGCTTCTATATGTTGTGCTGGCTCCACGGTTGGTGGCGGAGTGGAGGCCCCCAAGGCTCGATCATCTTCATGAGCGATCGACACCGAGCCGTCGAAGGTAGAAGTAGCTTCAGAAATCTTGTTCCACTGAGAGGCAACATGAACTTCCTTTGCCGATGGCAAACAAGGCTCGCCCCGGCTTAAGCAGCGCTGACATGGCTTCTGGTCTGTGCACTTGGACTTGCTCTGGACGCATGCCTGGCATGCTCGACTGGCTCGCGCCGTCCGGGAAGACCCTTCCTTGCGTAGGTGGGTTTGTTTGTGTCGATACAAAAGGTCCCTGGTATCTCCTATTAGCATCTGCGATGACTTTCTGAGGTCATAGCTTTGCAGGCTCTATCCATACCCCCGATTGAATCCTTTGGGGCAAAACGGACAGCGATAGGGCCGCAGATCTTCGTCTGCAGAATGAATCAGTACAGAGTTGTTCCTTACGCGAGAGAAAGAAGAAGCGCATACGAGAATGCAAGTGGCGTGTATAGTGATCTGAACGCTCGAAGGAGCGGCTGCACTTGTCACACCAGTACTCCGAATCAGAGTCTTTTCCGGCCTTCGCGCGCTTCGGATTGGGCGGGGTGTCCGCTCGGTCTTCCGGGGTATCCATTGAACTCACGGGCGGAAGTACGAGGGGGTGAAATAATAACAATCTGATGTGGCCGGAGGGCAGTGGAGGGGTGGTTGACGGAGGAAATATACAAACGTGAAGATGTTACCCTTGGGATGGGCGGTTTCCCCGCAAATGCGGAGAATTAGTGGAGACAGCGCCATCCCCCACTCCTTCCGAGGCAAATCAGCCGTGGAAAGCTATTTCAATGCCGGGGATCGGCGAAGATTGCTGTCATCCACTATTCACTCGCGCAAGAATTTCGCAACAATGTCTGGTGGGCTAACCCCCGTTCATTTCTTCTCCCATGGGTCAACGGCCATGCTAGGTGAGCAGTCGGACTCGGCGGATTATTGGAGGGCATGTGGCGATGCCGCACGCCGCAACGGTATTGAGCATGTAGTGATCATGGTATTGCAGACCTAGCCCTCTAACTCTGCTCTTTGACTGATCGTTCATACGCATAGGGAGCGCACTGGGCGGCCGTAGGCGATGAGATTCAAATCGCTACCAGCCCAAAACCCAACAAAGCGCCGATTGGTGGTGTACATCCCAGAAAATACGTCGATTATGAACTGATTCCGGATCTTCCCATGTGTGAACGCATTATATCGATTCTGCGACAAGCTGGCTTCAAGGCGTCCGGTAATCCCAACTTCGATTGGATCCACGACGTGTATCTTATTTTGATTCGCACATTCCCCGATGGCTGCCCTCCCACCACTGTGATCAGCATGAATGCTCGCTTCGACCCACATTACCATTTGAGAGTTGGCGCCGCTTTACGATCACTGCGTCGGGAGAACGTACTGTTCATTGGCTCTGGTGGCACTGTGCACAATCTCTATCGAAACGTATGGTGGCCGCTGCTCCGTTACGCAGACAATTTTGCTATGCCATCCCCTCCCGGGGACTGGGCCCTGGACTTCCGCCAGGAGTTTGAAGATGCTATGACTAAGGCCTCAGGACCACGGCTCAGGAAGAGCCTCACTATGCTGATGAAGATACCGAAGTATCGTGACGCTCATGCCACTGATGATCACATCATGAGTGCTATGTTTGTGGCCGGATTGGTTGGTGATGTTGAAGACGAAAACACTCCAGTTGAAATTGGGGCTGAGGACTGGGAGCTGACAAATATGTGTAATACGCAATTCACCTTTGGTAAATGGGCAATGGCAAAATAAGACGAGCCTGGCATTTCTGGGTGGGAATGATGATGTACTAGTTGTTCACACAGTTGCGATCAGACGATCCTATATTTAACCGAGTATACATTAGAGCCATAAAAGCAGAGTAGCATCTGACTTACCTAAATCAATTTATAACATATGCTTATCTATCTTTAAGCACCTGAAACCCGTCTCCAAAAATTTCAACAAGTCCGCATACGAGCTTGGGCTGTCCTTTGCAGCCTAAGAAATTGTGGACACGTCAATTGAGCAGAAAATATACTTGGCTTTGGTATATCTACTGTACCTTGAAGAGCAGATATACATACATACTTATAATATTTACTAATAAGAAAGCAGAACTAGGTACTATATACAGAAGATGAACTTCATACATGTGCTCTTTATGACACAAAAGGCAGGATTACACGTGATGGGTACTCTCCACCTATATGAACCTTGTGCAATCCTCTATTCCGAGTTTCCAGTTCCACCTTGGCGTACTTGGCCTCCCGGATCAGGGGATACTCGCCACTGACTTGTACCCTTAAAGACTCACCAGCATCAAAGTCAATCCCCATAGCCCAGAGTCCAATTTCAATCTCCACTATGGTCCCGGGAGGGATCTTTTGCACCTCCGAGTGGGTGTGAAAGGGGTATTGGGGATGAATGGAACGTGAATGATCGACCTTTCGGTGCGAAGCCCTAAGTACTCCAGTGGGACCGTAGTAGATGGTAAGATTGCTGTACTCTTCTGGAGGGATGTATGCGACCTTCGAATATGGCGCATCCGAGAGAGGAATATTGACGTTAATCATCTCTTTTCCCTCCCTATCGAGCTTTCGGATGAGCACGTAGACGATCATGTCATCTAGGTCATCACAAGACATGTGAAGCACTGCCTTCGGTAGCCCCATCACTCGTGTCTTTTCAGAGAATGTGTATGTGAAGCCAACGAAGTCAACTGGATTCTTCCCGCTTTCCGAGTCATAAGAGAAGGTTGCGCCTCTCGACGGTGCCTGTGAGGCCAAGGTCCGTTCTTCGGTGAAGAAAAGCTCACGGTACTCGGTGTTAGGCAAAGGAAAGTTGTCGACGACGATCGGGTATTCAGGTGATGCGTCTCCATAATTCAAGGAGGCCATGCGTACCCTTGGTGTTTTCTCCCATCCGTTGTCTTCCCCTTTGAGAAACTTGGAGAAGAAAGATGCCAGTTCATCCCTGGATTCCTTTACAACCCATAGATCATACCACTCCTGATACGGATCCCACCGCAGCCATTTTTCCGAAGTTTTGACCTGCATCCACCCCCTCACAGAGCCCATTGTGTGAACGAAGCTGGAGTAGGAGGCCACGACATACGTCGGTATCTGAATCTTGTTGATATCAGCGCGCTTATCCTCCCAGTATGCGTTGATTGTCTGGCTCCGGCGGAACATTTCTTTGAAATCTTCCAGACCATGCTTTCCTCGGATGGTCTCCCGAGTGATCAAATCAAAGAGTCCACTATCCCATGCCCCGCCACGCACAAACTGTTCGCGGTAGAGGTCGCCACATGCTTCCCAAGGTGCAATAGCCTTCAACGATGGAGGCTGGGTGGCTGCGATAAACCACTGCACGATTCCCAGATGTGAGTTACCGGCGAGACCGATATTACCATTGCACCAAGTCATCCTTGCCAGAGCTTCAATAACGTCGTGACCATCTTCCCCCTCTTGAGAGCCCATTATCACAATGGAACCGTCTGAGTCACCAGCGCCACGAGCATCAACGTTGACAATAGCAAATCCTTGCGGGCAGTACTCGGCTGGATCTGGACCCTCAAAGCGTTCCAGACCACTGAGGCAGCCATCCGGCACACCCACTCCCCAGCGCACCTTTTTCATCATGTTGATTCCATTGTGCTTCTTGCCGAACGGGCTCCATGCGACAATTGCAGGAACCTTCTGTTCCGTGACCGGTCGATAAATGTCGCAGTATAAGGTGCAGCCATCTCTGACACGGATGCCCACATCATGATGGACAATAAGATCTTCACTCAAGGCGCGGGATTTGAAGCCATTCCAGCCCTTCGGGAGAGTTTCAGTGCGGGGATTGAAGCCCTGGTAGCCATTGTGGCCAACAGCCGGCGGCTTTATTTCGAGATTGGCAACTTGCACTGGTGGCGGCATTTTGAGAACTGTAAATAATCAACAATTCCGCTTCAGTTATGAAGTCGTCGGACTTATTATTCCTCTGAAATGGTATGGGCGATGTAATTATAGACGTTCTGGAAACCGCTTTGACGCCGCGTCGGAGAGACTCCCTCCGTGCCAAGCCATAACGCTCAGTCGTCCCCCATCGGATTTTCCGCCTGGGGGATGACGCACGTTTCGGGAAAGGATTGATTCTTTCGCCCGTAAGCTGCTCATTTGAATACATATCTTGTAGCATGTGACCCGCGTCGGTCGATAAACGGGCGAGTTCGGCCGAGCCTGAGAAATGAGTGACATGAATATAATCTGATGACCTTCATTCCAAGTAAGTGTGCTCCCTATTTAAGAGTAACTAAACTTACCCACTGCCCGCCCTCAGCAAACTCGCAAACATCAATTCAATCGCAGAGAAAGAACTCAGCTATCTTGACAAGATCTCCATACTTTACCCATCGCATCTCGGACGACCTACAATGGCACCCAGCATTCTTGACCAAAAAGCGTACACTTCGTACGGCGATTGGCGCGATGAATTTTACCGCAATGGATATGTCGTCCTAAAGAATGTAATCTCTCGCGAGAAAGCTCTCAATTACCGCGAAAAGGCTCTTGATTGGCTGCAGTCCTTCAATACCGGTTTTGATATCAATGATCAAAGCACCTGGACTGCTAAAAACCTACCCCAGAGTTTCAAAGCTGGCATGTACCTGAACTACTGTGCTGCCCACGAAAAGTACGTTTGGGATGCAAGAATGTATGTATCAACCCACCACCTGAAGGGAATAGTAGATAAGCTAACATCAACAACAGGGAGCCAGAGATCATCAACGCCTTCGCCAAGATTTGGGGCACCGACGAGTTGCTGGTATCATTCGACACCATCAACATCACCCTTCCCGGGCGCACCGACGTCGAGTGGTCGCCTTGGCCCCATGTTGACCAAGCACCCGAGCGAAAGGGTCTGTCCTGCGTGCAGGGTATCATCAACCTTAGCGAGGCCGGACCCAAGGATGGCGGGCTGATGCTAATGGAAGGTTCATCCAAGCTATTCGATCGGTTCTTCAAACTGAACCCTCCTGACCGTACTCAGGGGATTGGAGCAAAGCACTATGACTTCTATCCATTCAAGGAGCACCACGTGAAGTGGTACGAAGAGCAAGGATGTAACCTTATAAAGGTCTGTGCTGAACCGGGTGATTTGATTCTTTGGGACTCCCGCTCCATGCATTATGCGAAATTCCCTGAGAGCGATGAAATCCGTACGATAATTTACGCCTGTTACACCCCTGCTTCTCATGCCACTCCAGAGGATCTGAAGAAAAAGGCCGAGCTTTTCCATCGCTGGGAGACTACCACCCATTGGCCTCATTGCAACATTCACGGCCACGGGAAGGCTATGGTGGATGGGAAGGTTGACCCTCTGGAAAGGGATGAGCCACTCGAGAAGCCGGTTATGACTGATCGGCTGCTGCAACTCGCAGGAGTCAAGTCTTACTAGTGATGTGTCCTTCATGGGCACCATCCTAGGAACATGTCTTATGATGGTGAACGCTTGTGTGTTTTGTGTTGACATGCTGTATTGTATTGATTTGAGAATATTTTGATTGTTACAAGTTACCGAAGTACTCTGCGCTTGGGGTTTTCCATTCATAACTTATGGGGTCGTAGGACATCAACCCCTTGTATGCCTCCTGTACCTCAGCCAATGCGTTTACGATAACGCTTCTTTACTAGTATAACTTATTTCTTGCTGCACACAACTGTGCGTCGGACCTCCAGACCTAGTAGTAGAATGCCAACATCTCGAGACTAAAGCTTCACCTAGTTGTGAATACTAGCTATGCTGGGACGACTTAGTAGATGACTGCATCCAATCCACTCGACTGGGATTGGGGCCCATGAGTAACCTCCATACCCTGCATGCCCCAGACTTTCGGTATCAGGGTATCCATGCACTCTTGGTCTTTCCGCAGACATATGCCACGTGTCCAGCTACATTCTATTATCTGGCTGTGTGGCTGACAAGTCCTTCCGGTAGCATATCACCAGACCACCGTGACCTGACTGTGTCGTGGTCTTCACCTTTTTGACTTCGGATGAAGCATGACTCTTGCAAGCGCTCCCGCGGAAGCCCCAGACGGCAGGAAAAACTATCTATCCCCCACATCATCCGCCAGCCGGGGAAAATCTCCCTCTCCGACGCTAAAATCCGGGTGGTGGAGAACCTCCGCACTTCATGTTCAACGTGGCTGCAAACGTATATCAGGCTTTCTACCACAATGGCGTGAAATGCTGTCACTTTGCAGCACACATTGGTGCCAATACCTTTGTACCTCGTTAATCACTGAAAGAGTATCTTTATCATGTCTGGAGGCAAACCTCACCAGGAATTTATCGAGTGTGTTGACCCTAAAACCAACCTCAAGCCTGTGCCTCGCATCACTGGTACTGTGAATTTGATTGAAGATGGAAGAATTATTTTGATACCGCAGCCGACTGCTGATCCCCGGGGTATGCCTCTCGAAAGCAATATTGCGAGGGCGAGATCTCGCTAACTATACGCACAAAAAAAGACCCTCTAAATCTCCCTGAATGGCATAAATGGCTTATTCTCATCGTCGTTGCCCTATGTACGTGAGAACTCTATCTTTCATAACGAGGGGGAACATATCATTCTACAGCATCGATCAACTCATCTCTATGTGGCAGACGCTATGACAGGTAACTTGCTCGCCAGTGGAATTGGTGTTCTGGTTCCTCAGCTGAACGAAGTTTACAACAATGACCCCCACGTCGATGATCTGGTGACCTGGCCTTCTTTCTACATGGGACTGGGCAATCTCATTGCTATGCCTATCGCGGATGCTATTGGACGTCGTCCTGTTTATCTAGCCTCGAATATCATCTTGATCGCAGGCAGCATCTGGTGCGCTTGCTCGGGCAGCCTCAACTCCCACATTGGTGGCCGTGACTTTATGGCCTTGGCAGCAGGTCAAAGTGAAGCATTGTGTGTACTTATCGCTGAAGTATGCAGACCTCTTATCAGGGTATGTGCGGTTGATGCCACGTATGTATTGACAATAGAATAGGAAACGTTCTTCTTGCACCAGCGTGGCAACCGTATTGCGTGGTTCTGCTCCCTACAAACCCTTGGCACTGCTCTTTTTATCATCGCTAGCTCCTATATCAGCACCGACATTGGGTGGCGCTGGTGGTATGGAATCTTTGCGATAGTCACTGGGCTTACGCTCCTCCTCTCAATCCTCTTCGTTGTTGAAACGAAGTACGACAGGCCATTAGAGAGCTTCTGTGAGGTCGTCTCTGATATTCCTATGCTTGACATTACTGACTGCCGTGTTCTCTGTCTCATATAGTCGGCGATAGCGATAGCGCTGCCGACGGTAAAGTGGCTGCATCCGACAGACGCCATCTGGATTTTGTAAACTTCAAAGCCCGATCATTTTGGGAAGACCTCAAGCCATGGGGAGCAATCCAGCCCCGCTGGAAAGATATCCCAAAATTTTGGTACCACCTTGGACAACTGACTTTGTTTCCCGGAGTGTTCTGGCTCGTCTTGTGCAGTGGTGCACTGCTCGGCACATATATCCTGATGAGCGCAGTCTTTGCTCAAGTCTTGGTCGCACCCCCATATAACTTCAACCCAGACTATCTGGGCTTTGTTATGGGAGGGCAAGCAGTCGTTGCGTTTGTTGTCCAGCCAATTGCGGGTTATGGCAGTGACATGGTCCTGACGTATCTTACAAAAAGGAACAATGGCGTCAGCGAGGTGTGTATATTCATTTCTTCATCCACACAACCAAAGAAAACTTGCGAACAAAGCTCACAACCATGTCTGTCTTAGCCCGAGTACCGACTTATTCCCGCTATTCTCCCCGCCGCAGTCGCCGTCGTCTCATGCGTGATCTTCGGCCGCTCATGCCAGTACCCCGAGGACTGGGCATGGGCAGGTGTAGTTGTTCCTATGAATGCACTGTTCTACAGTTTTGTCAGCGTCGTTGTACTCGGATTCGTCTATACCATGGACTGCTATCCACAGCGAGGTCATGTTGCCATGGTCGCGCTGTGTGCTGGTAGAGGCTTTATTAGTTTCGGTATTTCTTTTGGCACTACGGCGTTCGTGCGGACTTCTGGGTATAAGGGTGCATTGGATATATGTGCCATAGTACTTGGTGTTCTGGCAAGCTTTGGCTTCGTGACATATTTCTTCGGCAAGAGCTTTCGGAAGTTTACGCAGCGGTGGGCTGTGGATGAATGATTGTGTCTTAGATGGACGACTCAAGGAATTGACTCAAGTGTTTGGCCTGGGGTGTGGTACTGTGGATATTGTGCCTGGGCTCGTGTTGGTCGAATAGAAAGGGAGAATGTAAGGGGTCTACAGCATGCGATGGATGGGGATTTCGGTATAGCTCTTGGCTAAATTATATAGCACTTTATTTGATGGTATGCTGGATTTCGTTAAATTTCATACTAAGACACTTCTCGTGCTCTGTTTAGAGGGTATTTACCCGTATGAGCTCGTCTGGTGGTGGAGCCATTCTCACAGTAACATAATTCCAGAGGAAAGTAACGGAAAGAGAAAATAAAAAAGCTGCATATCCTGATATTAACGTCTCTATCCTCAATCTAATTACATTCCACGACCCAAGCATTATAGCTCAGAGGCTCCTCCTGCAAAGTGCCACAAGATTCTCCAGCCGGAATACCCTACAAGGGAAATAACTGGCAAGACAATAAACAAAGCACCCACAATGATACCCTGCTCAAAGAACCCAATAGCAGTTCCTGGTCCTTGGCCAGTTTCTCTCAGAGGTTGACTTTCCCGTTCCCTAAAAGCTTGTAGTTTGCTGGACGTGGGGTTCGTAAAATCCTTTAGCTCAAAGCCAAATGATTCAATTGACTCTATGAGCTCCGGTCTCGGTTTGGACATCATCTCTTTGGTGTAGCGTAGGCGAAGAGAAAGGCCGTCTTGCCTGTGAGGAAGAGCAGGTCCAACTAGGGATACATAACAGGGATCAGTCAATAACTTTATGGAAGGAGTTGACCATGAGAGTAGCTATGTTCACATACCAAGAAGCTCCGCTGGAATACAATTCACGAAGGACCAGCAGCTATCTATCTGTTGGCTCAGGAACTTTCCGGCAGCCGGTTCAGCAAAATGATACGCAACGAGATATTCAGGCCTACTTAGTATTAGCAAGTTTCAACGCGGAATCTCAAGATGTAGGCTGTTCGGCTCACGTGTTAGACGCTGCAATTACCGCATCTGATAAACTCGCAACTGTAAGCAAAGTTAAGCATTGCCCATTACCACGCATGGTGGCTAACGAAGACGACCTATGTAGTCGGATTTCGTGTCAGTAGTCGAACTCTCGGATAGTGTGTAATCAATTCTAACCTCTGATGCACATCGATGATATAAAAGCCCTCTCCCTTGATGAGGGTTGCCTCGTCCTTGCTCTCTGCCTCTTCGATTAATTTACCCTCTTCAATATCCTTGATATCAATGTGGCGCAAATCCTTGTCGCGGTTCAGACCCATTGTTTTGCGAATTATCGTATCGATAAAGGTGTTTTTAACCCATTCATTGAGGATTATGAGGTCTGGTGCGTGGGGCGATTGCCCGGAGAAGGCAAGATGAGCAGAGAGGATTTGTTCGGCGGCCTTGTCAACGTCTGCTGTCCGATCAACAACCGCAATTGACCGCAGACAGGGAAGTGATCGAATTAAGTTGGCGGCTTCCTTTTTACCAGTCTGATCAATTATCAAGGCCGTGGAAAGAACCTCCTTATCATTCAAAGGGCCCTTGCTTAAAGCATACAACTCCTCGTCGAGGGATTGGAACAACGATGGTAGTAGGCCATCCACGGCACACTCGTCGCACTATGACCAAGTCAATGTCATGATTAGTGTAATAATTGAGTGGCACGAAGACTGGGTACGCACCTCAACCACGAAGGTGTTCCCAGCAGCTATAGCACATGCCACAGCAGATATGATTGAGTAGAACCTTGTGTGACTAGTCGGTCTCACAACAACAACCCCATAACCTACTCGGCGTTCAATATTGTTTTCTCCTCTAGCAATCTTGTATTCATCGTCAATAGCTTGATCAAAATTGATCCCATCGTAATGCTCGCTGACTGTCGCAATCGTCATGTAGTATTCCACTTCGGCTTCCGCTTCAGTCGTGAACGGAGTAGAAGCGACGACGTCCAAAATCTCCTCGCGCGAGTCCAGGAGGCTTTGGTGGAGTACTTTCAATTGACTTTGTACAAACCGCCAATTCGATGTTCGGCCATCGATTGCTGCGGCGCGAACGCGCTTGATGCGAGAATTCGAAGACAACATTCTGCTTGACCAGACAACGTAAAAGACTCCCCAGGCACAAGCTGTTTGGGGAATGTTAGGAGTAAAATGTCTTCTTATTTCAGGCTAAACCTCGGCTTTCATAACTGGCCCTGTAAGCCTAGGCCTCACTCTCCGCATCCCCCAATGTGCGTGTGTCCCCCACCGGAACGTGTATCGTTCCGGCACAATGCAGATATAAGAGCACTAGACATACATCCATCCGAGCGTCCACACAGCATTTCAGCTAGTGCTTCGATACTGGCTCTTTCAGAAAAAGCGATATCATGACTACTCAGATCACCACTACCACTTCCCTGCCCCCTCTCAATGACTATCACATCCAACTTACCGGCAGCCGTGATGCCTTGCCGGTGAAAGTCACTCGTCGTCGTGCGACAGGGAGAAATCCCCCCAAGTGGCCTACCAAGTACAGACGTGTTCCCCCACATCGACCCGTTAATAAACATTTGGATTTATCGGAACGTCCGAATGGGTCGAATACGGGGGAATGGGTCTTTGTAAATGTCATGCTCAATGGCGTGCGTTTGAACTCCGTAAGTGATCAATTCCAGAAATACTGAGACTAAAAGTGGACGATGATACTGATCTAGCATTGTCAAACATAGCTTTTCGTGACCAGCTACGAGAGCACTATAGGAAGATTCTACCCCAAATTGACGAGATACGCTATCGGAGGAGAATGGTAGACTTTGTGGAAGATTGGGGATGGTTGGGGAAAGCGTAATTGTCTTACGTATCTCGCTCTGGTTCTTAATATGCTTTGTCAATTTGATAGTCGTATACCGTTACCTGAATCCCCCAATTTACACCCCGATACAGAGGCATGGTCTTTTCGCCGGAAGGAGGTGGGGCGGCTAAGTGGCTCTCCGTGGGAGAAAGTGGGAGTGTTGATCCGCCACCGGAACCTCTTCGGATAGCCAGACAGTAGTTCGTGCTGAGATGGGGTATAGTGAAAATGTCAATAATACCTTAAATATGAGGCAGTTGCTGAGCAGCCTTCACGAATCTTGAATCAGCTCATTGGCCTCAGATCACTCCTCTCCCCCTAGACTCAATCTTCTACATTGATAGTCAGAATGCCTAATAATTTCCGGGATATCAGCGAGACCTTCGTGGATGAGGAGAACAAAATAGTTTTCCACAAGAATGTTTCTGTTCCCATGAAATGGAATGGGAGTGTGCTCCGTATCAACGTATACCGTCCTCTGGCGGAGGGTACCTATCCCAGTTTGGTCACGTACGGACCATATGGAAAGGACATCTACTATGGAGAGTGAGCATTGTTCCCTCTTGTCCACTGTGTATTGGTTCTATCATTTTAACAATGGGTTTCACTCTAGCTTTCATGCGAAGTCCTTCTCCGAGGTCAATCCCGCGCATAAATCAAAATACTCAGCATGGGAGACACCGGATCCCGTATTTTGGACCAAACACGGCTACGTCGTTGTCCGCGCAGACGAGCAAGGTTTAGGCCAATCACCTGGTCTACTTGATACCATGTCAGCCAGCACTGCCAACAGCTTCTTCGATCTGATTGAGTGGACTGCCGTACAAGTTTGGTGCAGCGGCAAGGTTGGCTTGCTGGGCGTGAGCTACTATGCCGGTAAGTAAAACCCGCGATCTTTCTACTCCAACAATACCTCTATCTTACCATCTAACCTTTGATCGTTCTTTAGGGAGCCAATGGCGTGTCGCAGCAAAACGCCCCAAAGGTCTGGCCGCCATCGTACCTCACGAAGGCATGTCTGATTACTACCGCGACCGGTGTCGCCACGGCGGGGTCCTGTCGAACAACTTCATCGATTTTTGGTGGAACCGACAAGTGGTCACCAATCAATATGGTCGACCTGGTCGCTCCAAGTCCCGCTGGGGAGAAGACACAATCGAAGGTGATCTGGATCCTGCTGAGCTCGCGGAGAATTGCCGAGATCAGAACGTCGATAACGCGGAAAATCCATATCTTGACGACGAGTATCACGCGTCGAAGGTCTTCCGTCTCGAAGATATCGAGGTGCCATTGCTGAGTGTTGCAAATTGGGGCGGAATTACGCTGCATCTGCGTGGTAATGTGGAAGGGTATACGTTGGCCGGCTCTAAATACAAGTTCCTGCGATTCATTGTCGGACGGCACGACTTGCCATTTTATTACGACGAGGAGGTGGAAGTGCACCGCAGCTTTTTGGAGGCTTTCTTGAAAGACAACGATTATGCTGGCTGGAAGACTGGTAAGGTTTCACCGGTCAGTATTTGCTTGAGAAAGGGAGATGTTGGATTTAACAACCCGGTGGGTGAGAGCACCTTCCCGCGCAGGGACGAGATGGAGTGGCCCCTTGCGAGGACAGAGTATACCAGGTTCTTCCTGACCCCTGAGTTCGGCCTCGTGGGGACGATGCAAGGGGATGGTCGGGTTGGGCGATCTGTTCTGTCTTATGACGCGGGCGACTCCTCTAACATTGGATTGAAAGTGCTGGAATTCAAGATGCCGCCTGTTGAATCAGAAATGGAAGTCACAGGCCATGTGCTGGCGCATTTAGCGGTCTCTGTTGACAGCTCTGTCTCACCACCTCCGGAAGACTTGGACTTGGATCTATTCCTGACGCTACGCCATTTTACAGCTGCAGGAAGGGAAGTGTCCTATACTGGATCGTCTGGGGATGCTGTCCCTGTCACGAGAGGCTGGTTGCGAACCAGCATGCGCAAGGTCAACACTCAAAGCCCTTATCACCGACCATATCTCCCTCGGAGAGAGTATAGATCGGTCGATGTTCAACCAGTTAAAAGTGGGGTGGTTTATGAATGTGACGTGGAGCTGTGGCCGACTAATGTCGTCCTTGAAAAGGGAGGTTGGCTACTGCTGCAAATATCATCAGAAGATACGGAGCCTGGCGTAGGCCTCTTCAAACACAACTCTCCAAGTGACCGGTATGTCTCCATTCCCCCAATTTACAATACTGTGACTGATAAGAGGTAACCTGTAGGCCTGCTGGAAGATTTGCTGGAACAAATACCATCCACTTCGCTGGGTATGAAAACTACCTGCTGCTACCCGTGATACCCTGAGTCTCGAGGAGTAAAAAGTATTGCAGCATAGTCAGATCGATATCATTGTTTTGATAGAGAAACTCATTCAGTCACCTTAGCTTCCCACCTTTTTAAAGGCACGAGACCGGTAGTCTAGTAAAAGATGGATGTTGGAATTTGATAGAAGAAGGTGAGATCATCGATTAACCCTAATACCCCGTTCAGAGTTAGGTGTCTGGGTTTTTCCAGGGGCATCCTGGTGAGAGAGTCACGGCATCTGCTAAGCGAATCAAATCGGAGTAAATGGCGCGATCGTCCACGGACGGCTACTATAGCTAAGTTATAACCCCGATGCTCATTCAGTCGCCTATGTTTGCTATTGTGATTTTGCGTGGCTTTCTTACTAATCTGAATAGTGCGTGACTATGCAAGTCTTGTAAGCATCACTTATTAACCAGGTAGTGGTCACTTAGAGTCTTAGACAAGGTCTCGCTCCTTTTCCGATTTGATACATCTCCAGCTGTAGGAATCCACAGGAAGGGTTGGGTCAGCTCAGGGTTCCGGACGCCACACCAAATTCTCTGGCCGTGGCCTTGTAGCTGTCAAACCATCCGTAGTCTTGCTAGTGTCTGCCCAAGGCGACGGGTCAAAGCACAGAGTTTTCTGAGAAGATCATCGTTCATTAATCAAACTCGCAGATATGATTAGTTGCTGATGGGGCAGAGCTGAACACAGCTGAAGGTGGAGTCTACTTACGTGTCTGATTTAATACACAAATTAGGGGCCCGTCCCGTTCGCCGATCGAATGGTCCTCAATCAAATGACCACCTAGCACTTCGTCCGTAGATAAGTAGGATTATAGCTGCATTTGACAACCCCACCCGTGAAGATCGTTTCTACACTCAGGTTCATAAACTGTCAGCGACGCTCCTGACGAGATGGTTTTATCCACTACAAAACTACCCAGGGCCCGCATCGATTGTTTTGGGTTCCATGGCCACGAGTGAACGCTTTTTCCACCCATGTCACCACACGTCACATTCAGAATGCTTCCCAGGACTATTGATCTCATTCTCCTGCTTCTCCTGGCATCCAATGTTCAAGCCTTTAGTATATTCCACACAAATTGCACGCTCCCACCCCAACACACCAGTTTTGTGTCAGCCCCCAACACCCGTGGCACATTGCAAATCCTTTGGTCGTCCCTATTCACCATCCTCGCCTGCACTTGGACTGTACTTCATCTCAATGTACCTGGGTATGTACCGAAACCGGAAATAAAGGACTTCTAAAAATGGCTCAAATGGATGGTGGACAAGTATCAACATCCAGCCAAGTGGTTCCTCCTTACCGTGCTTGCACCAGAGATTCCTTTCGCCAAATACTGGGATGATCAGGTCCGGGGGCATTCACTGTTTTACCACTATGAAACAGTTTTCAGGAAGAAGAACTGGACGAGGACTCATGTCCTCTTCGCCAATATGGGAGGGTTTGCGCTGCGGTGCACTCCCGATTCCGAGGATGGTGAACCCGATTCGAAGAACGAGAAAGCGACTACGGAAGACCAGAACGACCACCAGACCAGTACGAGCCCCCTTGTTGAAGATGATACCTCTCTGACGGGGGGACCTAGCACGTTGAAAGCAATAGCTTCGGCGTCCTGCTGCGTGAAGCCAGAAAAGCAGATACAATCTACCCGCACCGGAGATCCCGCGAAAAAGTTCGAAGAAGTCTTCTATCTGACAGCCATTGAAGCCTTAAAACTTCTTTGCAGTAAAGGAACATCTATACAAGGGCTAGAAAATGTATCGGAGGAGGAAATCAATGCTCGTTCGAAGTCGGATATGTTCATGCGGCTCCTTGCCGTGGGCCAAATTGTCTGGGTAGTTATCCAGATCATATCACGGTGGGCTTATGGCCTGGCCGTGACCCAGCTGGAGGTTACTGTTGTTGCTTTTGCGTTCTGTGCGGTAGGAATGTACATCGTTAACCATGGGAAGCCCAAAGGAGTTGAGCTGCCGATCCTCTTCGGATATCCTGGGTCGAAGGAAGCGCTACTAAGAGAACTTCAAGATTCCACTTTCCCTGATCCTGAAGGAAAACACAGCAATTGGAAGTTCTACAGATGCAAGTATTGTACCAAAGAGAAGGTACAAAGCCATGGCGGTACCAGCAAAGCCAACAAAAAAAGCAGCGACGGAAATGACAAGAACCATGAACCCGCAAACAATAACGAAGTAACCGATGCTAAATCAGAGACCATGTCCAGAAGGGACTGTGAGGCGAACACAGATGTCAAAGAAAGTGAGGTAGTGCCAAAAGGGGCTACAATGACGATGATCTGGACAAGTTCCTTGGATACATTCACAGCAATTGTACAAGGGGTGCGAACAACGCTACAATCTAGCCGGGACTCGGGTGGTCCAATTGGCAATGGATTTATTGACGAATCAGAAGACCCGAGCAGGTTGGGCAATGTCCTCACTGACTTGTGGATGTTCATCGGCAGTATGATCTTTGGGGGCATTCATCTCATAGCCTGGGATTTTCGATTCCCCACCACAGTGGAGAAATATCTCTGGTGGGCGGCGTCATTGTGGTGTACAGCCTGTGTACTGACCGGCACATTGCTTTACCTGGCGCTCGACGTACTAAATACAACTATGGAGCTCGTAAATGAAGCGATGAACCATGGCAACTCTTCGACACCCGAGGATACCAAACCCGACGATGCAGCCGGACCGGCCCCAACGGTCAGCCCCAACCAACCCCAGGCAAATCCTAACACAAAGCTTGATACTGGACCCAGTCCAGGTCCAAAGGAAACCCCTATTATGGAGGCCGAAAAACCAGCTCCCCCATCCGAGGACCCACAGAGAGATATAGAATTGCAGAATTCAACGCCACAGCGCTGGGAGACGATCGAAATACTTGCGGACATTGCGCGTTTAATACTAATTCTTTTTGGTTTGTCCTATAATCTTCTATCGGCTTTTCTTCTCATATTGCTTCTGGTCTTTTGGGGTTGTTGGTATGCTTGCCTACATTGTGGCAAGATTGTTCATTGTTGTTGAGATGTTCAGGACGTTGGCCTTTCTTCCGCCGGACGCTTACATTGCTACTTGGTCATCAGAAATTCCTAATATTGGTTGACCATATTATTACATGTTTCGTTAGACTAAATTATTTGAATTTGACCGTGTTTTTTTTTTTTTTTTTTTTTTTTTTTTTTTTTTTTTT